GTTCACGTCTCTACAGTGTCTCTCTGTGCACCTCCTCTGCCGTCTCTCCCTCTGTGGCTGATGTCTGTGCCACATGTGTAGGTTATACTCAGCTCTCCACTTACCCATGATGCAACAGCAGCAGCGGAGCGTAAATATTTTGTCCATTTTCTTTTATTTTTCTGACGGAGCAGCGCAGACCTGGTTCCGGCTGTCCGTCAGAGTGATTGACAGCTCTGAGTCCGCTGCTGCCTCTCTGCCTCCAGGAAACAACATCACATTCATGTTCTGCCTCTGACCCAGCAAGAGCCCGCCCCCCAGCGGAGGCCCACCAATCACAGCAGACGATCAGCGAGACCAGCGACCACAGCGACAGACCTGGAAGCTAAGAAAGAAAAGTGGTTTTATGAAGTATTATGGATTGGTTGGAGGAACTCGTGACGCTCAATTTGCTACTTTAAACAGTTTTGAACTAGTCACAGCCACAGCTTTGTTTGACTTAATGTTGTCAATGTAGTTTGTTCATTCCTATTCACCAGTTATCTCTCCGTCTGCTCCATTAAAAAACCTAGGAGCCTCTGAATCTGAGACTATAGGCACTTTTTCAGCTGTCTGCTAGGGACCTGGTGTTTCAGAGGTCTCCCATCGCAGTACTGACCAGGCCCTGCCCTGCTTAGCTTCAGAGGTCTCACGCCATGTGGCTTTCACCTGCTGAAGTGTCCACAACCTCCATCTTATTGTGTTTCTTTGGTGACTGACGGTAAAGTTTGAAAGAGTTTGCTGAAGAGGGGGCGAAACGTTTTCTGTACGTCTCTAAATAGAAATTACTAAAAGTGTAAATTGTAAATAATTCTAAAACGTCTCTAACTTTGTTTTTGTGAATGAACTCTTCAGTCGTCCAAAGTCCAGTTGTTTTCCTTCCTCGGCCTCAGCTCTGTCCAGACCCGTATTCTCTCATTGTGTTTTCATGGCTCCGCGGGGGCAGCAGGCCAGGACCACCTCCCGCTCGGTGCCTCTTTGGACCTCAGACCTCAGCTCCCCGGGCTCACCTCAAACCGCAGCTCCCCGGGCTCACCTCAAACCGCAGCTCCCCGCGGTCACCTCAAACCCGCGGCTCCGTGCTCCCCGCGGTCACGGCTCGTCCACACTCCCTCTCCCACTTGCTCCTGCTGGTCTCTGGGTTCCTCTACGCCCACAGCTAGAATCTGTTTGATGTAGCCCTCCTGGCAGACAACACAGGGGCGAGCCAGAGAGAAACACACACAAGGCCTCGTCGGTGTGTGTGTGTAGGTGTGTGTGTGTGTGTATGTGTAGGTGTGTGTGTGTATGTGTGCGTTGGTCCTGAGTCTTACTGGAATACTCCCCCTTTCTAGTTCACTCACAAACAGTGGAAAAGAAGACATGAAAAGGACTGAGTTATGAGCGGCTGACAGGCTGCTTCGACTCTGCCGGACCACAGTGGGCGGGACTTCAGGCCGTGATTGACGCCTGTCACTACCAATAAGGTGTCAGGCCGTCTTGTGCCAGGCTCCACTTAGCCAGTTTTCAGTTTCAGGACACATCAATGAAGAGGAGATTTGATCAAAAAGACGAAGAGAATTATATACAATACGTTTAATATTGAAGCTGAGAGAGAGTGCCGTTGTCAGAATGGTCTGTTGTAGTCTTTGGAAATTGTTCTGATTTTTGGATAATTTAATAAAAAAAGATCTCAGGTCTCTGCTCTGGCTCCTGTGGCTCAGAGAATGGACTTGAAAGCAGCTCCGTTTGTTACGAGTCTCTCCACGACCTCAAAGTACATCTGTGACATGTTAGAGCCAACTCTGAGGAGCACAGGGACTGGCCTCCTGCTGGGACTCTGAGGAGCACAGGGACTGGTCTCCTGCTGGGACTCTGAGGAGCACAGGGACTGGTCTCCTGCTGGTCCCAGAATCAGGACTAAACATGAGGAGGCCGCATTTCAGATGTATGCAGCTAAAATCTGGAACAGTTTTCCTGAAAATGTGAGACAGACTTCTTCTCGAACAATGTTCAAATCCAGGTTAAAAAAGTTATGTTTCTGCAACAACTGAAGGACTGTATCTTTACTCTTTTGAATGTTCTGTGATTATTTATGATTTTAATGTGTCTTCTCTTGTTTCGTTCGGCACTTTGAGTTTCCTTGAGTATGAACTGTGCTATACAAAAAAACACTCTCCTCACATAGAGACATGGGCCACACTACAACAGAAATTCAACAATTATAGGAACGGCAAAATAGTCCGAAGAACCATTTTGAGAATAAATCCTGCGGTCCATGAATCTCCCTCTGTCTGTAAATCGTGGTGCATTAAAACTCCGGGTCAGTAGTTGAAAGCCGCCGTCTCCGCGCTCACCTGTGGCGCCTCCAGAGGAACGGCTCTCTGTTCTCGAGTGGACGAGATCATTAGCATGAGCGCTAACGAGTCCGGTCTCTGAGATGAGGTCAGAGAGAGAGAGAGAGAGAGAGAGAGAGAGAGAGAGAGAGAGCTGTCATCAGGAGCTGAGTCTGTGGAGACCTCACTGTGGCTTTGAAAGACTGTTGTGCACCATTTACACTCTTCTTCTTCTTCTTCCTCCTCCTCCTCCTCCTCCTCCTCCTCCTCCTCCAGGGGAACCTCCTAAATGTCAGTTTAGAAGGTTTCAGAACAGAGAGAGAGACCAGAGAGAGAGAACAGAAAGAGACTACAGAGAGACCAGAGAGAGACTAGAGAGTAGGGCTGAAACAACTAATCGATTAATCGACGACTAATCGATTATTTAAATAGTCGACAACTATTTTAGTAATCAATTAATCGTTTTCTGGTTCACATGGACTCAAACAGAGCAAAAATGACATGAAAATGTAGTATTTTTGGATTAAAACCGACTTTATTTTTATAATTTCATGAATATCTGTCTGTCTCATCCAATCAGAGCAGAATTAGCACAAAGAGCCTGTTACAAACATTTACTTTAAGTTTACGCCTCAATACATCCGCGAGTGTTGCCACTTTAGCTTTTTGTGATGAAAAAATATTTTTTTTCTACACAATTCACAGCCAAGCGATTACTCGATTAATCGTAAAAATAATCGATAGATTAATCGATTACAAAATAATTGTTAGTTGCAGCTCTACCAGAGAGAGACACCAGAAATAGACTACAGAGAGACCAGAGAGAGACCAGAGAGAGACTACAGAGAGAGACCAGAGAGAGACCAGAGAGAGACTACAGAGAGAGACCAGAGAGAGACCAGAGAGAGACCAGAGAGAGACCAGAGAGAGACTACAGAGAGAGACCAGAGAGAGACACCAGAAAGAGACTACAGAGAGACCAGAAAGAGACCATAGAGAGGGACCAGAAAGAGAGAGCAGAGAGAGGCTACAGAGAGACTAGAGAGAGACCACAACTGTCATCAGGAGCTGAGTCTGTGGAGACCTCATTCTGGTTTAAAGGAACATTTTTCTCCATTTACACGCCTCAAGGGCCTCATCTGTTTTCTGGAGATGTAGGATTCTCCCTCCTCCCCCTCCTCCTCTTCCTCCTCCTCCTCCTCCTCCTCCTCCTCCTTCTCCCGGGGAACCTCCTAAATGTCAGTTTGTCAGGCTGCGACACAAACTTTAGACTTCTTATGCAGAGTGGCGTGTCGCAGCCCACCAGCCTTGATGTGCAGCAAACATTAGACAGAGGAGGTGATCACAGGTACCTTTGATTTGGGGGAGACGGTGTCAGAGGCGGAGAGGAGGCTTTAGCTGCCGGTTGTAGCTGGATGTATCTGGATGTAGGGCCCATGGCTGGCAGGCTGCTGCTGGGGCTGTGCCAGGCTGATGAGGGCTGACGAGAGCTGACGAGAGTTGACGAGAGAAGGTTAATGCTGGGATTTCTTCTCTAAAGCTCCCACACACTCTGCACTGATCAGAGCTGCTAATCAGGGCAGATACTAGGAGCTCGCTGGTGTCTGCTCTCTCTCTGGTCTCTCTCTGGTCTCTCTCTGGTCTCTCTCTGGTCTAACTCTGGTCTAACTCTGGTCTAACTCTGGTCTAACTCTGATCTAACTCTGCTCTCTCTCTGGTCTAACTCTGATCTAACTCTGGTCTCTCTCTGGTCTAACTCTGGTCTCTCTCTGGTCTCTCTCTGGTCTAACTCTGGTCTCTCTCTGGTCTAACTCTGGTCTCTCTCTGGTCTCTCTCTGGTCTCTTTCTAACTCTGGTCTCTCTCTGGTCTAACTCTGGCCTCTCTCTGGTCTCTCCCTGGTCTAACTCTGGTCTCTCTCTGGTCTAACTCTGGTCTAACTCTGGTCTCTCTCTGGTCTCTCCCTGGTCTAACTCTGGTCTCTCTCTGGTCTAACTCTGGTCTCTCTCTGGTCTCTCTCTGGTCTAACTCTGCTCTCTCTCTGGTCTAACTCTGCTCTCTCTCTGGTCTAACTCTGGTCTCTCTGCTCTCTCTCTGGTCTAACTCTGGTCTCTCTCTGGTCTCTCTCTGCTCTCTCTCTAGTCTAACTCTGGTCTCTCTCTGCTCTCTCTCTGGTCTAACTCTGGTCTCTCTCTGGTCCAATCTCCGGGTTCTTTCTGGTGTCTGAGGCTGGTCTGGCAGAGCAGAAATCCTTTTAGCTGCAGCTGTTTGTGTTCTGCTCCAGAGGAAAATGTAGGGAACGTGTTGACAACTGTGTAAAGTTCATGATGTCTTCTTTATGTTTCAGGCTTTGAACGTTTCAATACCACATGTTTGGGCTTCCATTGGCAGAGAGAAAGCAACACGAGACTAGAAAGAGACCAGAAAGAGACCGGAGAGAGACCAGAAAGTGACTAGAGAGTGACCAGAGAGAGACCAGAGAGAGACTAGAGAAAGACCAGAGAAAACAAAACGTATTCATACATAGTAGTACTGTTGTATGAAAGTGTGTGTGTGTGTGTGTGTGTGTGTGTGTGTGTGTGTGTGTGTGTGTGTGTGTGTGTGTGTGTGTGAATATATACATTTACTATATTAAATAAGCAAATCCTAAAAACTTGTCTCCTTAACTCTCAGCCTCGGCCCTGGTGTGCGCAGCCATTGTTCTGGTTCTGGGCCAGGACTGGGGCCTGGGCCGGGACCGGGGCCTGGGCCTGGGCCTGGGTCTGGGGCTTCTCCCTCCACAGGATCCTGGCATGCTGTTTGAAGTGGTGATCCGGCACGACCGCCTCACCTGTAAGATCAATACGCCGCGGTTCAAAGCTGCCCAGGCTTCACAGAGAACACACTCTTATTAATTTATAGAAACTTCTGGAAAGTTTGTCTGAAGGGGGCGAGAAAAAAACCCTCCAACTCTGTATGGCGGCACCGGAGACAGGGGGAATTATTAATACACCTGGAATAAGAGGAGAGAGGACCCGTCTAACACCTTATATGAATATTTAAATGAGGCTTTTTGATGTGCATTGATCATAACCAGAAGTGCGCGAGACAGACGGATAAGAAAGCTGGTTTAAAGACATCAATTGTGCGTGTGTGTGTGTGTGCGTGTATATATGTGTGTGTGTGTTTAATTCATTAAGCTAGTCCATTTGAGTCCTCCTTTGTTGTCAGATTTGATGATTTGGGGGAAATTTCCAGCCACGGATTCAAAGCGTTTGCCGTTTGGAGCGAAGCTAAGCCCAGCGGCGGCGGCGGCGGCGGCGAAGAATGAGACCAAACCGAGCATTTATATTTAATGATATCAATTTATCAACAGGAACTATCTCAGGATGTAGACGCAGATTTGATTCCGTGTTCGCTCTGTTTCACCTCCGGGACACATGAGCAACGCTTCACTCTGGGCTGGTGTCTTCTCTGAACTGATGATAGTACTGCTGCTTTAACTGCTGCTGCTGCTGCTTTAACTGCTGCTGCTGCTACTTCTGCTGCTACTGCTACTGCTGCTGCTGCTACTGCTGCTGCTGCTGCTACTGCTGCTGCTGCTGCTACTGCTGCTTTAACTGCTGCTGCTGCTGCTTTAACTGCTGCTGCTGCTACTTCTGCTGCTACTGCTACTGCTGCTGCTGCTGCTACTGCTGCTGCTGCTGCTACTGCTGCTTTAACTGCTGCTGCTGCTGCTTTAACTGCTGCTGCTGCTACTTCTGCTGCTACTGCTACTGCTGCTGCTGCTGCTACTGCTGCTGCTGCTGCTACTGCTGCTTTAACTGCTGCTGCTGCTGCTTTAACTGCTGCTGCTGCTACTTCTGCTGCTACTGCTACTGCTGCTGCTACTGCTACTGCTGCTGCTGCTGCTACTGCTGCTTTAACTGCTGCTGCTGCTGCTGCTTTAACTGCTGCTGCTGCTACTTCTGCTGCTACTGCTACTGCTGCTGCTACTGCTACTGCTGCTGCTGCTGCTACTGCTGCTTTAACTGCTGCTGCTGCTGCTGCTGCTGCTGCTACTGCTGCTGCTGCTACTGCTGCTGCTGTAATGGTGTGATGGTAATATTATCGAAACCATGTGTACAAGTGTAAAGATAAAGCCTCATTAGACCCAGGACTGAGGCTGTAGACGTAGGACTGAGGCTGTAGATCCAGGACTGAGGCTGTAGATCCAGGACTGAGGCTGTAGATCCAGGACTGAGGCTGTAGATCCAGGACTGAGGCTGTAGATCCAGGACTGAGGCTGTAGACCCAGGACTGAGGCTGTAGATCCAGGACTGAGGCTGTAGATCCAGGACTGAGGCTGGACTGAGGCTGTAGACCCAGGACTGAGGCTGTAGATCCAGGACTGAGGCTGTAGACCCAGGACTGAGGCTGTAGACCCAGGACTGAGGCTGTAGACCCAGGACTGAGGCTCTAGATCCAGGACTGAGGCTGTAGATCCAGGACTGAGGCTGTAGACCCAGGACTGAGGCTGTAGACCCAGGACTGAGGCTGTAGACCCAGGACTGAGGCTGTAGACCCAGGACTGAGGCTGTAGACCCAGGACTGAGGCTGTAGATCCAGGACTGAGGCTGGACTGAGGCTGTAGACCCAGGACTGAGGCTGTAGATCCAGGACTGAGGCTGTAGATCCAGGACTGAGGCTGTAGATCCAGGACTGAGGCTGTAGATTTAGGACTGAGGCTGTAGACCCAGGACTGAGGCTGTAGACCCAGGACTGAGGCTGTAGACCCAGGACCGAGGCTCTAGATCCAGGACTGAGGCTGTAGATCCAGGACTGAGGCTGTAGACCCAGGACCGAGGCTCTAGATCCAGGACTGAGGCTGTAGACCCAGGACTGAGGCTGTAGACCCAGGACTGAGGCTGTAGACCCAGGACTGAGGCTGTAGACCCAGGACTGGGGCTGTAGACCCAGGACTGAGGCTGTAGACCCAGGACTGAGGCTGTAGACCCAGGACTGAGGCTGTAGACCCAGGACCTCACTCGCTCCTCACTGTCTCTCGTTATCGTTTCATTCAGAACTTTTGGACAGATCTGCGTTTGCCGATAACTTTCCACCAACTTCTCTCTCGAACTCATCTCCCTCTGACTCCGTGCGTTATAAATACTTTTGTGTGTTTTACAAATCGAAAGCAGAAAACTCCTCTGTATAAAACTGGAGAAAAGCAGACTTTAAAACGGTAAAAAATGTCAAAAATAATTCTCTAACTTTTGTGCCGTTTGTGTGATTTGTGATGACAGTAACAGTTGTACAGAGTCCCATGGGTGTCGCGTTGAAAGTCTTCCCCCTTCCACACACTTAGCACATGCGGCGCGCAGGTTGAGTCTGGTGCAACCGCCTTCTTCCTCCTGGCGCTTGTCACTCGTCGCACAAATCTGCTTCGACAACCACAATTTTTAATGTTTGTCTGAGAAAATAGTTAGAGGCCATTGTTACACATCAGTGTCGGGGCTTCACAGGTCTGAGATGTACTGTCGAAAGTACTGTCAATATGTACTTTTACTGTAGAAAGTACTGTAAATATGTACTTTTACTAGAGAAAGTACTGTGAATATGTACTTTTACTAGAGAAAGTACTGTCAATATGTACTTTTACTAGAGAAAGTACTGTCAATATGTACTTATACTGTAGAAAGTACTGTCAATATGTACTTTTACTAGAGAAAGTACTCTAAATATGTACAGAGACCGAGAGAGAAAGACCATAGAGAGACCAGAGAGAGACCAGAGAGAGACCAGAGAGAGACCAGAGAGAGAGACCAGAGAGAGACCAGAGAGAGACCAGAGAGAGACCAGAGAGAGACCAGAGAGATAGAATTATTATTATTGTCCTCATCATTCCAAACTCTGCCCAAAAACAAACCAAACAAGACTTTAAACCTGGAATACTAAAACATGTGCTCACACTTTCTCTCTTTCAGTCTCTTTTTTCATACCAACATCCAAAAAAAAAAAAAAAAAAGTGTTTGCGTCCCAAAAACCGTGTGTAAAGTTATGTTTGTGTGAAAAAGTCAAAGTGGGATCTGCTGCTGCATTAATGTGTCCAGGGTCTCTCTCTCTCTCAGCGTCCGGAGAAAGCGAGAGAGACTGAAGCAGAGCAGAGGTTCAGGAGTGCAGGGTGCAGATGGAGAAGAGGGCTTTCTTTTCAACTTCCTGTGGATTCTCAAACTACAGTCCGAGCCGCTCACCGGAGACTCAGACCAAACCCGGACCCGGACCTGGACCCGGGCGTTTGAGGCTATACACACAGAAGCAGATGTTTCAATTTGGGCAAATCTCTGTTATGTTTGGAGCTTGCCAAACTTTCAGAATTTGTTATTTTGACTTTGACTCGCGGGAGAAACTTATGGCTCCAGCTCCAAAAATCTCACCATGAACTTCTTTTGATGCATTTATTATTGTTGGAAGCTTTGGGCGAGTGTGTAAAGACGTTAGCATTACTGCCAGAGAAGCTAACTTGAGACGGCGATAGAACAATTGAAGTAAAGGCAACTTAATAAAAGAAAATGAAAAATGAAGTACTTAAAACAAACAATCAACATTTACTGAAGGATCTCGTCTGAAGGAGTGGGGGAAGTAAACATTTATAATCCCGACCCGTTCTTCTGTGCTTCAATCCCATAACTTAATAGACTTCCTCTTCATAATTATTTTAGCTCTGAAAACAAGTCACAATTCACGCTAAGCTAACTATAAGCTAACTATAAGCTATCTATGAGCTAACTAGAAGCTAGCTATAAGTTAACTATAACTATAAGCTAACTACAGTATAAGCTAACTTTAACTATGAGCTAACTATAAGATAACTTATAAGCTATCTATAAGGTAACTATAACTATAAGCTAACTATAACTATAAGCTAACTATAAGCTAACTTTAACCATGAGCTACCTATAAGCTAACTATAAGCTATCTATAAGCTAACTACAGTATACTTCCTGCTCTGGACAGAGCAGTCGCATTCTCTTGCTGCTCCTCGCTTGCTGCCTTTTTATCTCCTTTCATCATTTTTATTTACATTTTTATTCCACAAAACACGGATTACTCCTTTTTACAAACTTCAACACAAGACTTGTGGAATTTACCTAACTTACAGCATGTCGGGAGGACGGGAAAAAAGAACAAAACTTTGCGACGGCTGTTTTTCACTCAAACAGGAGCTAAAACTTCTTCAAGACCGAATGTTTGTGCTTGAATCAGAATTGGGGCTGAACACAACAATACCAGTGAAAGGAAATGGACCACATGGACAGAACGTAAGTTATGATGACGCTATTTCATTTCCCAAAATCAACAGAGACAATTGTTGGAACACATATGGTGCCAAGCCCAAACAAGGCAAAGCTAATGATAACAAGAGTGTCATAATGCCACAGCAAAAATCTTTAATTACAAGAAACCGCTTTTCACCACTTTTGGAAGATGAATCAGCAGTAGCCTCTCAGTCCCAGTCTCAGTCTCAGTCAAGGTCAAATGCAGCTGAGTCGCTCTTTATCGGGGATTCTGCGATAAGACATGTAAACATGCGTAATCTCAAGGTTCACTCAGTACACTCTGCCAAAGTGGATGAGATAAGGCGGTTGGCTCCGAGGCTTCTGTCTGAGACCGGCGGGGTAAAAAGATTGTTGATCCACGTGGGGGCAGTAGACGTCTATGACAACACAAGTGAAAAGTTGAAACGGGATTACTCTCTCTTATTGGACGACCTTGCTAAAATGGACGCAACAATCGTTATCAGTGGCCCACTACCAAATGTGGACGGGAAGCAAATGAAATTCAGTCGTCTGTATCAGCTAAATACTTTCCTACTCAACGAATGTTCACGCAGAGGACTTGCCTTCATTGAAAATTTTAATCTGTTCTGGAATAGGCATGAGCTTTTTGAAGGGAAAGGGCCACATCTGAACACTTACGGAGTAAAAGTGTTGATGGATAACCTTTCTTTTGCCCTGAGACCACAGCCTGCGCAGCGCGTGCAGCCATCGAAAGGGAGGAAGCCGACTCTAAAAGTCTCTGCACCTCCACCACCTCAAAGGATCTCAACACCATCACCGCCTCAAAGGATCTCAACACCATCACCAGCAGCAGCTGCATCACCACCAGCACCAGCAGCAGCACCAGCAGCAGCTGCATCACCACCAGCAGCAGCTGCATCACCACCAGCACCAGCAGCAGCACCAGCAGCAGCTGCATCATCACCAGCAGCAGCTGCATCACCACCAGCAGCAGCTGCATCACCACCAGCACCAGCAGCAGCACCAGCAGCAGCTGCATCACCACCAGCAGCAGCTGCAGCAGCACCAGCAGCAGCTGCATCATCACCAGCAGCACCACCAGCAGCACGACCACCACCACCAACATCCTCATCCCCAGCCTGCTCCAAAGCAGCCACGCCTTCTTCATCTACAGCGCCTCTGAAGCCCCCATCCTCACCCCAGCCTACAGCAGACAGGCCTGTGCTGGGGTTTCCTCAACCACCTGCCCCTCCATTAAAGACTCCCTCGCCACCTCCCATGGTCCTGTCTTGGGTCCCCCCTGCCACGTCCACTCCATCAAGAGAGAATGGGGACACCTCCCTTTGTTTTTCATCCCCGCCTTCACTGTTAGACCTACCTGAACACTCTGCAGGGCTAATAAAATCGGCAATGAAGACAATTCCTCTCACACCCATATTAGCTAGATCTAGAGTCCTGTCCAACATGCTAAACCACTCCCCATATGTACCTCCAAAACCACCTACAAAAACCACCTCAGCCCGTCCCTCCCCTAACCTCATGACCATTCCACCCCCACTTCCCCCTCGTTCAACACCCAAAACCTCTGCCTCAGCCCACCCCGGCCCTAACCCATCACCAAAAACCCCTCCACCTCCCTGCCCCCCTCGTTCAACACCCAAAAGCCACCCACCTCTCCATCCTCCTCCTCCGCCTTCCCCTACCCCTCTTTTCTCTAAACACTAGGATGCACAGGGTCTCTGCTTCGCAGCCACTGGCAGTCTAGTTAGAGGAGAGACCCGGCTGGTGCCCTGTCATGAAGCCACCTGTGCCATTGCCTTAGTGATAACACAAAGAATACATTACAGAAAAACATCTGGAGTTAATCAGTCTAATCAGGAAAATCTAATTCTTGTTCCGTGTAAGAATCAGCCGACCGCAACCGCTGATACTGAAACTTTGAAACTTGCTACGCTTAATGTCAGATCTCTTTGTAACAAGTCTTTTTTAATCAATAATTTCATTTGTTCTTATAATCTTGATCTTATGTTCATGGCTGAAACTTGGCTTGACCAAAATTCAGGAAATGCAGTTTTAATAGAAGCATCACCACCAAATTTCAAGTTTGAATCTGAAATACGGGAAAACAAAAAAGGAGGAGGCTTAGCTGCCATTTTTAGAGACCACTTTGTCTCCCATAGAATGTCTCTTGGGAACTTTGTCATTTGAATATGTGTCTTTTAAAATACAACAAAAACAATCTCCTCCAATACTCTTCGTTGTCCTATACAAGCCACCGCAGTCATGTCACAGTTTTATTGATAATTTTACAGAGTTGCTTTCAGTTGTATGCACAGATTTTGATAGTTTGGTTATTACAGGTGATTTTAATATTCATGTGGATAATGTTGATGACAGAAATGCAAATGAGCTGAGTTCTGTACTTGAATCCTTTGATCTCACTCAGCATGTAAGTGGCCCCACCCACAGCAGAGGGCACACTCTAGACCATTAAGTTACTAAGGGGGTGAATATTTCAAATGTAAACGTGGTCGATGTTGCTCTTTCGGATCATTTCTGTGTATTTTTTGACATGTGTTTCACTAACAAACCACCAGTGGACTCTGCAACTGTACGAAGAAGGCGCATAAATGAAAATACGAGTGAACTATTTATGGGAATGATAAACTTTGAGAATGCATCGTATTCTACTGTAGATGAACTGTTTAACTCTGTCACCTCTAGTGTTTTGAATGTTCTGGATACCGTTGCCCCTGTGAAGGTTAAAATAGTGAAAAATAAGCAGAAGGCGCCGTGGGCTAAAGCAGACTCGGTCAGGGCACAAAAGAGAAAGTGCCGGAGGGCCGAGCGGAAGTGGCGCAAGTCCAACCTCCAGGTTGATTACGAGATCTTCAAAGATAAGTTGTGCGAGTTTAACCGGGTGCTACGTAGTACAAGAGAAAGGTATTTTTCTGAAATGATTGAAGGCTGCAGCAACAATCTGCGTGTTCTGTTCTCAACAGTTAATAGATTAACAAACCCCCCTGTTCAAATGCCATTAGAGCTTACTTCCAAACGTAAATGTAATGAGTTTGCTAATTTTTTCAATGACAAGGTTCAAGGCATCAAAAACGCCATTGTCTCCAATCCACAGATAACCATCCAACAACCAGAAAGGCTCTCTGAGCTAACTCACTTTGCACCTGTAAATGATAAAACTGTCCAAGAGATAATCTCCAGTTTGAGCTCCTCCACATGCAGCTTGGATGTACTACCCACTAGATTTCTGAAGTCTGTTCTGAGCAGTCTGTTACCTTCACTCACACAGATAGTAAACATGTCCCTTCATTCTGGAATATTCCCAAAGGCCCTGAAAACTGCAGTCATCAGGCCCCTGCTAAAAAAGAGCAGTCTCGATGCTACGGTACTTAACAACTATCGTCCCATCTCAAATCTGCCATTTATGGGGAAAGTCCTTGAGAAAGTTGTCTACCTACAGCTTACTAGATTTCTTATAATCAACAACTCATTTGATATGTTTCAGTCCGGCTTTAGACCCCACCACAGCACTGAGACTGCTCTCGTTAAGGTTACAAACGATATCCGGCTGAACACTGACGCAGGCAAAGTCTCAATCTTAATCTTGTTAGATCTAAGTGCTGCCTTTGACACTGTCGACCATGAGATCCTCTTACAGAGACTACAGGACTGGGTTGGAGTCGCTGGCACCGCCCTAAGTTGGTTTAGGTCTTACCTTGAGGACAGGAAGTACTTTGTGGAGATTGGAAACTGTGTCTCAGATCATATGGCCCTGACCTGTGGAGTACCACAGGGGTCGATCCTGGGACCTCTTCTGTTCAATCTCTACATGCTGCCGTTAGGTCAGTTAATACGCAGAAACAAAGTTTCCTATCATAACTATGCAGACGACACTCAGATCTATGTCTCACTGACTGCAGGAGAACATGGACCAGTGGACTCACTCCTTCACTGTATCCAACAGATCAGTGAGTGGATGCAAAACAACTTCCTTCAGCTAAACGCAGACAAAACTGAAATGATTGTCTTTGGTCCCCAGAAACAAAGAGAGAGCGTCATCTGTCATCTACAGTCTCTCTCCCTAAAACCTTCAAACAAGGTCAGAAATCTAGGGGTAATACTGGACTCAGACTTAAATTTTAATAGCCACATCAAATCAGTAACATCAGCAGCTTTTTACCGTCTAAAAAACATAGCCAGGATCAAAAACATAGTGTCTAAAGCAGACCTGGAGATTCTTATCCATGCATTTGTCTCCAGTAGGTTAGACTACTGCAATGGCCTGCTCACAGGTCTGTCCAAACAGGCTGTAAAACAGCTGCAGTACATTCAAAATGCAGCAGCTCGAGTCCTGACTAGAACCAGGAAGTACGACCACATTAGTCCAGTCCTCAGGTCTCTGCACTGGCTTCCTGTGGCTCAGAGAATAGACTTTAAAACAGCTCTGCTTGTGTACAAGTCTCTCCATGGCCTCGCACCAAAATATATTAGTGACATGTTAGTCCCATATGAACCAGCCCGGACTCTGAGGAGCACAGGGACTGGACTCCTGCTGGGACTCTGAGGAGCACAGGGACTGGACTCCTGCTGGGACTCTGAGGAGCACAGGGACTGGACTCCTGTTAGTGCCCAGAGTCAGAACTAAACATGGGGAGGCTGCTTTTCAGATTCATGCTGCTAAAATCTGGAACAGTCTTCCTGAAGATGTGAGACAGGCCTCTCTGACAATGTTTAAAACCAGGTTAAAGACAGTTCTGTTTAACTGTGCTACAACTGAGGGATTTTATATTTTTATCTTTCTTTTTGATGTTCTGTGATTATTTATGATTTTAATGCTTTCTTGTTTTGTTCAGCACTTTGAATTGCCTTGCGTATGAATTGTGCTATATAAATAAACTTGCCTTGCCTTGCCTTGCCTTAACTATAAGGTAACTATACATAGTTCCCACAGACCAATGAATGTCACATGACCTCCTCGGAGACGCCATCTTTGATGGCACGCTGCTGTGTTTGTGCATTCCATTAAACAGAAGAATGAGAATAAATGTAGATATTCAAACGCAAATTGGAAAAAAAGGGCAACTTTTGAGCAAATAATTGTATATTAATACAATGGCACCACAGTTTAACGTGCTACGGACATGTTTTACATATTTGATCAAATTATGCAGCAAAAATTAACAAGCAATGCAAACATTTCTCAAAAACTTTAGATTTAATACCAGTTGGAGCTCCATTTAATTATTTTAATTATATTAACAATTAATTTAATTAATGCTAATGCCACACGGACACTCTGGATTGCTGTTATTGTTTATTTCCGCGTTTTTGACCGTATGTTTTGGTGAATGGTGGGCAACTGATTTTTCCAGGCGTAAAGAGCAGTTTATTTTATGACACAGATCTTTTTACAGAAGCAATGCTGTTTGTGAACATTGTTTTAGCCCACCATAAAACTATTATTATCTATTTAATACATTTACGTTGCCCTCGAGAGCCTCGGACGCGACAACGATCCTCCTCATAATAAAGTAATCTAAATAATGAAACTCTCAAGTTACCAGCTATCAGCATACACAAGTTAGTACTGAGTAAATTACGTCTGTCAACACATTATAAGATATGATACGCACCTGACACAAAGTGCTCCGAGCATATTCTTGCGTGTTTTGAGGGAGTTTCTTGCCTGTTTATCTTCGCAAGCCATAACCTCCGTCGTTGTTCTGACAAAAGCTTAGTCTTCTCACATTCATGAAGTCTAATGATGGGTATACTGTAAAATCCAAGTTTAACAGAACCTCCGGCACGATTTGAACATCCATTGACCCAGCAGGAGATGACCATTTTCAACTTTATCACGACATTAACACGTTTCAGCTTCTTTTTCTATTGTTTTGCCCACAGAATGCCAACACAAATGGCGCCGGGTCGGCAAATCCCCGTATGTAGTGACGTCATGTGGGAACTATGTATAAGCTAACTATGGCTAACTATAAGCTAACTGTAACTATAGCTAACTATAAGCTAACTGTAACTATAAGCTAACTGTAAGCTAAATTTATTGTTTTGACAGAATCTTGTTTCAGATTATTATTCTGTCTTCATCTTGTAATTAAACATTTCACCTGATACATGCTGAGAGCTGATTGGTCGACTGAGGGCTTAGTAAATGTCAATTAAGAGAAAATGTACCATAAAGAAAACAATAATTAGCAGTTAATGAGTTAGACAAGCTAAAGTCCGTTTAAATCTGTTATTGTTATAGTTTAAAAATCCTATATGGTTTTTTTCTGTATTTTTTGCACTTAATAATGATTCTCTTTCTTTAATCTCGCTTTCTATATCTCTATCTCTAGTCTCTCTCCCTCTCTGGTGTCTCTCCCGCTCTGTCTCTCTCCCTCTCTGGGCTCTCTCCCTCTCTGGTCTCTCTCCCTCTCTGGGCTCTCTCCCTCTCTGGTGTCTCTCCCTCTCTGGTCTCTCTCCCTCTCTGGGCTCTCTCCCTCTCTGGTCTCTCTCCCTCTCTGGGCTGTCTCCCTCTCTGGTCTCTCTCCCTCTCTGGTCTCTCTCCCTCTCTAGTCTCTCTCCCTTTCTGGTCTCTCTTCCTCTCTGGTCTCTCCCTCTCTGGTCTCTCTCCCTCTCTGGGCTCTCTCCTCTCTAGTCTCTCTCCCTCTCTGGCTCTCTCCCTCTCTGGTCTCTCCTTCTCTGGTCTCTCTCCCTCTCTAGTCTCTCCCACTCTGTCTCTCTCCCTCTCTGGTCTCTCTTCCCTCGGTCTCTCCCTCTCTGTCTCTCTCCCTCTCTGGGCTCTCTCCTCTCTAGTCTCTCTCCTCTCTGGCTCTCTCCCTCTCTGGTCTCTCTCCTTCTCTGGTCTCTCTCCCTCTCTAGTCTCTCCCTCTCTGGTCTCTCTCCCTCTCTGGTCTCTCTTCCTCTCTGGTCTCTCCCTCTCTGGTCTCTCTCCCTCTCTGGTCTCTCTCCCTCTCTAGTCTCTCTCCCTCTCTAGTCTCTCTCCCTCTCTGGTGTCTCTCCCTCTCTAGTCTCTCTCCCTCTCTAGTCTCTCTTCCTCTCTAGTCTCTCTCCCTCTCTGGTGTCTCTCCCTCTCTAGTCTCTCTCCCTCTCTAGTCTCTCTCCCTCTCTAGTCTCTCTTCCTCTCTGGTCTCTCCCTCTCTGGTCTCTCTCCCTCTCTGGTCTCTCTCCCTCTCTGGTCTCTCTCCCTCTCTAGTCTCTCTCCCTCTCTGGTCTCTCTCTCTCTCTGGTCTCTCTCCCTCTCTGGTCTCTCTCCCTCTCTGGTCTCTCTCCCTCTCTGGTCTCTCTCTCTCTCTGGTCTCTCTCCCTCTCTAGTCTCTCTCCCTCTCTGGTCTCTCTTTCTCTATATAGTTTCTCTCTATCTCTCGTCTCGTTCTCGCTCTCTCTCTCTTGTCTCTCCCTCTCTGGTCTCTCTTTCTCTCTCTCTCCGATTGAAGCTAAGCAGGGCAAGACCTGGTTAGTACTGTGATGGGAGACCTCTGGGAACACCAGGCGCTGTGGTTGTGTCCTTAAGCAAGACACTTCCCCCACATTAGAATGAGTCTGGTGTGTGTGAGTGGTTGGTGGTGGTGGGAGGGGCCGATGACACAGACTGGTTTCCTCGCTTCTGTCAGTGTGCCCCACGGCAGCTGTGGCTACAGTAGACGTTTATCACCACTGTGTTTGGGGAGAAAGGATAATGATAAGCGTCTGTGAGTGTCCAGAAAAGCACTGTATAAAATGTTTGCATTATCATTATTATTATTATATTATGTTTCTTACTTTTGTCCCCAGAGTCAATCCCATCATTATTGACATAGACATTTATCCAAACAGGCTTCTACAGACAGCTGCAGAGTGAAACGTGCTGTAGATAAAGTGTCTCTGGCGACACCGCAGCGGGAGCACGGATCCTCGCTGGTCCTGGCTCCTCTCTGTACCTCTCTCCAGGCGTTTCATCTGACAGCCGATTCCCAGCATGCACTGCTCTGTATTCACGGCGGATCCCCCCAGCGGCTCCCAGGGGCGCGGGGGAAGGTCACCTCTGCTCCGCGCCGAAAAGTGCACATCAACGCCGCCTTCACACTCGCCATCGCCGCTTTGTCGTCGACTGCAGCGAGATACAGTAGAGCGGGAGTGAAAGATGTTAAACAAGTAGATTAGCATTTGGTTTCATAAACGCCACGGTCTGTGTGTGTCGCCGTGACGACAGCTGTCTCCCACAGGCTGCAGGAGGAGAACCGGAGGAGAACCGGAGCCGCTGCTCCAGACGCTTCTCCTTCTGTCTGTTTATGGTTCAACGTTTGGTGTTTTTGAGTCACTTTAGTGAAAAAAGGTTCTGAGTCTCAATGGGACTTTTCTGGTTAAATAAAGGTTCAATAAATTAAACACTAATAAAATAATGTCTAATGAAATAATATCTAAAATAACGTCTAATAAGAAATTTCTAATAAAGTAATATCTAGTAAAATAATAATGTCTTATTAAATAATATCTAATAAATAAAATAATGTCTATTAAAATAATATCCGGTAAAATAATATCCGGTAAAAAAATATCTGCTTGAAGTTTGAGACTGAAATCTTCCTCATTGTTGGAGCATCTGCATCTTAGAAAAAAACACACATTTCTTTCTCCAAGACTGGCCTCCTGTTGTGACTCTGAGGAGCACAGGGACTGGCCTCCTGGAGGGACTCTGAGGAGCACAGGGACTGGCCTCCTGCTGGGACTCTGAGGAGCACAGGGACTGGCCTCCTGCTGGGACTCTGAGGAGCACAGGGACTGGCCTCCTGCTGGGACTCTGAGGAGCACAGGGACTGGCCTCCTGCTGGGACTCTGAGGAGCACAGGGACTGGCCTCCTGCTGGTCCCAGAGTCAGGACTAAACATGAGGAGGCAGCGTTTCAGATTTTTGCAGCTAACATCTGGAACAATCTTCCTGAAAATGTGAGACAGACAATGTTCAAATTCACTGTGATTATTTATTGTTCCCATCTTGTTTAGTTAAGCAGTTAAAGTTCCCTTGTGTGTGAACTGTGCTATACATATAAACTTGCCTAGAATCCGGCTCTTGTCAGAATAACTTGTGCTAATAAATGTGTGGCCTGTTCAGTGCTCCCTCTGTGGGTTTCCCTGCAGCACTTTGGGAAGAAGTCCAATGTTTTGGCCAAACCGAGGTTTCCCTGGAGACCGGTGACATTCTGCTCTGTGCATCCCATAATATTACACCAGTGTCAGAGAGAGAGAGGGAGAGAGACAGAGAGAGGGAGAGAGACAGAGAGAGGGGGAGGGAGACAGAGAACGACAGAGAGAGAGAGAGAGGGAGAGAGAGAGAGAGACAGAGAGAGAGAAAGGGAGAGAGAGAGAGAGAGGGAGAGAGAGAGAGAGAGAGAGAGACCGAGAGAGAGAGAGAGAGAGAGAGAGAGAGGGAGAGAGAGAGAGAGAGGGAGAGACAGAGCAACAGAGAGACAGAGAGAGAGAGAGAGGGAGAGAGAGAGAGACAGAGAGAGGGAGAGAGAGAGAGAGACAGAGAGAGAGAGGGAGAGAGAGAGAGAGACCAGAGAGAGAGAGAGAGAGAGAGAGAGGGAGAGAGGGAGAGAGATAGAGAGAGAGAGAGAGGGAGAGAGAGACAGAACGACAGAGAGAGAGGGAGAGAGAGAGAGAGAAAGAGAACAACAGAGAGAGAGAGACAGAGAGAGAGAAAGAGAGAGACAGAGAACGACAGAGAGAGAGAGGGAGAGAGAGAGAGAGACAGAGAGAGAGAGAGAGACAGAGAGACAGAGAGAGAGAGAGAGAGAGAGAGAGAGAGACAGAGAGAGAGAGAGAGAGAGAGACAGAGAGAGAGAGAGGGAGAGAGAGAGAGAGAGAGAGAGCGACAGAGAGACAGAGAGAGAGAGAGAGAAAGAGAGAGAGAGAGAGAAACAGAGGGAGAGAGAGAGAAACAGAGAGAGGGAGAGAGAGAGGATCTGCTGCAAAACCATCCGCTCATGAGTCTGTGCGCGGTTTCTGTTTAATTTGATAATTGTAGCAACAACAACAAAAATCAAAGATGGCCGCCCAAAGCTTGTGGGAAAATTTAGCATCAACATTCTAGTGAATTAGCTCATCTTTATTTGCCCCACTGTGGCACCTGCTGTTCCCAGAAGGCTCCCATCACAGTACTGACCAGGCCCTGCCCTGCTTAGCATAGGGGTCTGACAGGATCTGGCTTTCACATGCAGGTGTAGTCTGCAGTAGTAGCATCAGGCGCAGTATTATTAACAGTTGTGGTGGTGACATGAATGTGTTTTATTTTAGCTCCACATCAATCATCGATACAAGAAAATGAAAATGTCAACAGACTTGGATTATTACACACAATTAAGAGACTTTCAGACAATGTTTTTATCAACTTCTCATCAATAAATATCATAACATTTACCTGGTAATTCATGCTACAGTTTGTGTTAATGCTATAGTTAATGCTAATGCTATAGTTAATGCTATAGCTAATGCTATAGTTAATGCTAATGCTATAGTTAATGCTATAGTTACTGCTAATGCTATAGTTAATGCTATAGTTAATGCTAATGCTATAGTTAATGCTATAGTTACTGCTAATGCTATAGTTAATGCTATAGTTAATGCTAATGCTATAGTTAATGCTATAGTTAATGCTATAGCTAATGCTATAGTTAATGCTATTGCTAATGCTATAGTTAATGCTAGCTTATCAGAGGTGCCTTCAGTCCCGTAGAGATTGCTGAAAACACAATGATAAATGATGGATGCTCAGGTGAAACAGGTCAGAATACTTGTAGCTATAGACTCCAGAACCTGGACTGACCTGGACTGGACTAGACCTGGACCTGTACCTGGACCTGGACCTGCGGACTGGACCTGGAATAGCAATGCATCCTGCGATTAAATATGCAGGGAAAGGATACGATATCATTTCAAAATCTGGTCAAATGAGACATTCTGCCTCGCTTCTATCTCTGATTCTCTCTCACCCTTTCCTCCCTCCCTACTCTTGCCTCCCCCCTCTCTCTCTCTCTCTCCCCCTCTCTCTCTCTCTGGCCGTGCTGCAGGCTTGATTGGGGGTTTTGTCACGGCTGCTTTGACAGGCCGGTGCAGAGCTCAGGTCCCAGCGGTTTGGCAATTATCCTCTAACCCAACAGCCTACTACTGCACAAATGCACACGCCGCCTGCATGTCAATAATATGGACTCCATGGGTTGGACAGGCTCACTCTCCTGTCTCTCTCTCTCTCTCCCTCTCTCCCTCCATCGCTCTCTCATTAGCCCTGGCGCCTTTTGGAGAGAGGAGGAAGGTGTGCAAACTCCCGAGACTTCTCAGCATTCAAGTCTAATATACGGCCCGTCTTAAGCTGCCCGCGCTCGCATTGCATTCCCGCGGTAATCCGGTCAGAGATCTGTGCGAGTCCATATACCGGCAACTTCTATATCCAACGCAGCTTGTCAAAGTACAGGAACTAGCTTAAGCGGCGGGAGTTAGGTTAATATGCACTTTTAGGGAAGAGATGTTGAAAGAGTGGTATGCAGGGTTTAGGTGGTGGAGGATTTGGTCGTTTGGGGCTGAATCAATGAGACACGGAGGGGGAGCACACTCTGCCAGTTTGATGCATCCTCAAAGTAGCGTCCGATGTGGATTCTCTGGGTTCGGTCTTAATTGACGGGACAGAAGGGGTTCATGGGGAGAATCAAAGGGAAGTGAAATATTGGGAGATTGGGGAGGCGTGTCGGGTGTAAGAAGTAAAACAAAACCGGGGGGTAAAAAAGGAAATGCATTTTGATGTTTGGATTATTTAGTTTTTGTCTTAGCTTTTCTGTTGATGTCCTGTATATTTGTCCTGTTTCCACCAGAGAAAGGCCAGAGAGAGACCAGAGAGAGACCAGAGAGAGGCCAGAGAGAGGCCAGAGAGAGGCCAGAGAGAGGCCAGAGAGAGACCAGAGAGGGAGGCCAGAGAGAGGCCAGAGAGAGGCCAGAGAGAGGCCAGAGAGAGACCAGAGAGAGACCAGAGAGAGACCAAAGAGAGACCAGAGAGACCAGAGAGAGACCAAAGAGAGACCAGAGAGACCAGAGAGAGACCAGAGAGAGACTGGAGAGAGACCAGAAAGAAACCAGAGAGACCGGAGAGAGAGCCCAGAGAGAGCCCAGAGAGAGACCAGAGAGAGGCCAGAGAGAGAGACCGGAGAGAGACCAGAGAGAGACAGAGACCGGAGAGAGAGACCGGAGAGAGAGACAGGAAAGAGACCGGAGAGAGAGACCAAAGAGGTAGGCCAGAGAGAGACCAGAGAGAGAGACCAGAGACCTCTTCTCTACTCTACTCTAGTCTGATTTAGAGTGCTACCATCAGCCCTGTTAAACCAGCACCAAGTCCTTCTTTAGTCCCTCTTGGTCCTGGTTCTATCTGGGCCGAGCTGGTATTAAACTGTTCTAACTGACAGAGATTGGTCAGTGTGCTGCTGGAAGCCATGGTTACCAAGGAATATCCCTGGATACTGGTTTGTTGTGGAAAGGTTGCTGGATACGATACCAGAGACTAAAGAGATGATTTAGAGTAGAGTAGGGCTGGTGGAAACAGGGCTATTGCTCACAGTTCGTACGCACACAAGTCCTTGCACACACACACACACACACACACACACACACACACATAAACACACACACACACACACCTGTATGTGGTCCATTCAGATTGACCCATATATTCCATGCAGATAAATGGCAGCAGCCTCTCTATACTCGGAGGTAGGAGCCCTCACTGGTTGTAAGTTTGTTCTAAAACCATCAGTGCCGTACCATTAGTCCTGGTCTAACTAGTTCAGAAGAAGAAGTTTCCTTTTCTCAGCGTGTGTTTCCAATGGCAGCTGCTGACGGAGACAGATCCACCGTTCATCTGGAAAACCACAGAAGTGACAAGTGCCGAGGAGGAGACGCCGAGCCAGACGAGATTACACCAAATACTACTACATTTCAACAACGTCCTAATTATCGTGACGACGACGAGATCTCAGGCCTCGGAATAAAACTGTCCAAAGTGAAACGCGTGGAGAAGGTATAGCAGCTTTAAGAGACCAGAGAGAGGCCAGAGAGAGACCAGAGAGAGGCCAGAGAGAGACCAGAGAGAGGCCAGAGAGAGGCCAGAGAGAGACCAGAGAGAGACCAGAGAGAGGCCAGAGAGAGACCAGAGAGAGACCAGAGAGAGACCAGAGAGAGACCAGAGAGACCAGAGAGAGACCAGAGAGAGGCCAGAGAGAGACCAGAGAGAGGCCAGAGAGAGACCAGAGAGAGACCAGAGAGAGAGACCAGAGAGAGGCCAGAGAGAGGCCAGAGAGAGGCCAGAGAGAGACCAGAGAGAGAGACCAGAGAGAGAGACCAGAGAGAGGCCAGAGAGAGACCAGAGAGAGACCAGAGAGAGAGACCAGAGAGAGACCAGAGAGAGACCAGAGAGAGACCAGAGAGAGGCCAGAGAGAGACCAGAGAGAGGCCAGAGAGAGGCCAGAGAGAGACCAGAGAGAGACCAGAGAGAGGCCAGAGAAAGACCAGAGAGAGACCAGAGAGAGACCAGAGAGAGACCAGAGAGACCAGAGAGAGACCAGAGAGAGGCCAGAGAGAGACCAGAGAGAGGCCAGAGAGAGACCAGAGAGAGACCAGAGAGAGGCCAGAGAAAGACCAGAGAGAGACCAGAGAGAGACCAGAGAGAGACCAGAGAGACCAGAGAGAGACCAGAGAGAGGCCAGAGAGAGACCAGAGAGAGGCCAGAGAGAGACCAGAGAGAGACCAGAGAGAGAGACCAGAGAGAGGCCAGAGAGAGGCCAGAGAGAGGCCAGAGAGAGACCAGAGAGAGAGACCAGAGAGAGAGACCAGAGAGAGGCCAGAGAGAGACCAGAGAGAGACCAGAGAGAGAGACCAGAGAGAGACCAGAGAGAGGCCAGAGAGAGACCAGAGAGAGACCAGAGCGAGACCAGAGAGAGGCCAGAGAGAGGCCAGAGAGAGACCAGTGAGAGACCAGAGAGAGACCAGAGAGAGGCCAGAGAGAGACCAGTGAGAGGCCAGCGAGAGACCGGTGAGAGACCAGAGAGAGACCAGAGAGAGGCCAGAGAGAGACCAGAGAGAGGCCAGAGAGAGACCAGTGAGAGACCAGAGAGATTAGATTCACAAAGCTGCCATATTATTATGTCTGTAAGTCCTTGCTACTGGTCAACATCATTCAGAGAGACTAGAACTACCTGAGAGAGACCAGAAAGAGACCAGAGAAACCAGAGAGAGACACACAAATGGTGTCTCTCTCTCTCTCTCTGCTAAGATCTTCAGACTGTTTCTTGTAAACTTGTCTGATGAAGTTGTTTTGTAGCGTCTGCGCCCGGAGTCGGCGAGAGCTTAATCTCCCGATCCATCAGTCCATCAGATCTACTCCTGTCTTTGAAGGAGACGGAGGCGGCAGCTTTATCAAACACACAAAACCGTGATCTCCCCTTCCGGCTCTAAGCGGCTACATAACCCTTACAGCAACAAACGCCCAGTCTCTGTGTGTGTGTGTGTGTGTGTGGACAGGGGATGGGGTAATTTTGTAGGTGTGTGTATGTGTGTGTGTGTGTGTGTGTGTGTGTGTGTGTGTGTGTGTGTGTGTGTGTGTGTGTGTGTGTGTGTGTGTGTGTAGGCGGACCTTGCCTCCAGCTAAAGTCATTGAGCAGTTAAGGAGTTCCTGCTACACTCCAGGCTACAGCTGCAATGGTACTGTCTGACAACGCGTGAAATTCCACAGCAATTTGTGAGAGAGAGACCAGAGAGAGAGAAGAGGGAGAGCCCAAAAAGAGAGACCAGAGAGAAACCTGAATAAAGACCAGAGAGAGAGACCAAAGAGAGAGAAGAGGGAGACCAGAGAGAGAGAAGAGGGAGAGCCCAAAAAGAGAGACCAGAGAGAAACCAGAGAGAAACCTGAATAAAGACCAGAGAGAGAGACCAGAGAGAGACCAGAAAGAGACCAAAGAGAGAGAACAGCGGGATACCAGAGAGAAACCAGAGAGAGACCAGAGAGGGACCAGAGAGGGACCAGAAAGAGACCAGAAAGAGACCAAAGGGAGAAACCAGAGACAGACTAGAGAGAGACCAAAGAGAGGGAGCTGTAGACCCAAGACTGTGACGTTAGACCCAGGACTGAGGCTGTAGACCCAGGACTGAGGCTGTAGACCCAGGACTGAGACTGTAGACCCAGGACTGAGACTGTAGACCCAGGACTGAGGCTGTAGACCCAGGATGGGGGCTGTAGACCCAGGATGGAGGTGTCCAGTATGAGGTCTTGACCCGGTACCACTTCCTTCCCGAACTAACGTTGGCGTCGTCGTTGCACTTGCGAGTCTCAGAGTGTTTCGTGTCTCGTACTTAGCGTTAAACTTTAATCCTGAGCAGCAGCGTAAGGACAGAACATGCTTTTAGATTTAATCAGGATCCGAGAGTGCCAGCTCCACAAACAAACAACCGCAGCACGGAGAGAAACGCAGATGAAGAATTTAAAAGTGTAGAAAGAAGTGGTTAGTTATGCTCCGGCTGCCTCCACTCTTTTAATGTAGTCTTGTTAGAGCTAATAATATTATGGATCCTCAATTGTTAAAGACACTCAAGCCATAATTGCATTTCAGAATCAGAATTTTAAAAAAGATTCTACTTTTTCACACAAGTCAAAAGTAGAGAATAGAATAAGGTATAACAACATTTACACATATTACATGGAGGAGGTGATGGAGGAGGTGATTGAGGAGGTGATGGAGGAGGTGATGGAGGAGGTGATGGAGGAAGTGATGGAGTAGGTGATGGAGGAGGTGATTGAGGAGGTGATGGAGGAGGTGATTGAGGAGGTGATGGAGGAGGTGATGGAGTAGGTGATTGAGGAGGTGATGGAGGAGGTGATTGAGGAGGTGATTGAGGAGGTGATGGAGGAGGTGATTGAGGAGGTGATGGAGGAGGTGATGGAGTAGGTGATTGAGGAGGTGATGGAGGAGGTGATTGAGGAGGTGATGGAGGAGGTGATGGAGGAGGTGATGGATGGAGGAGTGATGAGGAGGGTGATGGAGGAGGTGATGGAGGAGGTGATGAGGATGATGAGGAGGTGATGGAGGAGGTGATGGAGGAGGTGATGGAGGAGGTGATGGAGGAGGTGATGGAGGAGGTGATGAGGAGGTGAGGTGATGAGGAGGTGATGGGAGGTGAGGGAGGTGATGGAGGAGGTGATGGAGGAGGTGATGGAGGAGGTGATGGAGGAGGTGATGAGGAGGTGATGGAGGTGATGGAGGAGGTATTGGAGGAGGTGATGAGGAGGTAATGGAGGAGGTGATGGAGGAGGTAATGGAGGAGGTGATGGAGGAGGTGATGGAGGAGATGATGGAGGAGGTAATGGAGGAGGTGATGGAGGAGGTGATGGAGGAGGTGATGGAGTAGGTGATGGAGGAGGTGATGGAGGAGGTGATGGAGTAGGTGATGGAGGAGGTGATGGAGGAGGTGATGGAGGAGGTGATGAGGAGGTGATGGAGTAGGTGATGGAGGAGGTGATGGAGGAGGTGATGGAGTAGGTGATGGAGTAGGTGATGGAGGAGGTGATGGAGGAGATGATGGAGGAGGTAATGGAGGAGGTGATGGAGAAGATGGTGCACCTCCTCCTGTAGGAGACACCAGGACACCAGCCGGTCCACCTCCTCCTGTAGGAGACACCAGGACACCAGCCGGTCCACCTCCTCCTGTAGTGGAACCATCGTTGTTGGAGATGAGTCCAATGAGGGTGGTGTCAAACTTGATATTCTTCTGAATCGTGGCTGTTGGTTTAATGGTTGGTGTAATGGGTGGTGTAATGGTTGGTGTAATGGTTGGTGTAATGGTTGGTGTAATGGTTGGTGTAATGGTTGGTGTAATGGTTGGTGTAATGGTTGGTGTAATGGTTGGTGTAATGGTTGGTGGTGTAATGGTTGGTGGTGTAATGGTTGGTGTAATGGGTGGTGTAATGGTTGGTGTAATGGGTGGTGTAATGGTTGGTGTAATGGTTGGTGTAATGGTTGGTGTAATGGTTGGTGGTGTAATGGTTGGTGTAATGGGTGGTGTAATGGTTGGTGTAATGGTTGGTGTAATGGTTGGTGTACGGGGAACCTTCTCTCTATCATTGAATCTCCTGTATTCAAACTATTTGATTCTCTGATTTATTGGTGAATCGACAACTTTATAAAGTCCCCTGAGACGATGCTGTAGAAAAATACTGTGACAATTAAATTAGTAAAATAGTTCAACTTTTTAACGATAACTTCCTTCAGAACTTATTTTTTCTAACCTGTATTTTAACCCAATCTCTGCGGTCTCTCTCTCTCTGCAACAGTCGTCCTGAAGTCGACGGCGTGAGTTTGTTCTGAGGTGAGGTGATGGAGGAGGTGATTGAGGAGGTGAATGAGGAGGTGATGGAGGAAGTGATAGAGTGGTGGAGGAGGTGATTGAGGAGGTGATGGAGGAAGTGATAGAGTGATGGAGGAGGTGATTGAGGAGGTGATGGAGTAGGTGATTGAGGAGGTGATGGAGAAAGTGATAGAGTGATGGAGAAGGTGATTGAGGAGGTAATGGAGGAGGTGATGGAGGAGGTGATGGAGGAGGTGATGGAGGAGGTAATGGAGGAAGTGATGGAGGAGGTAATGGAGGAGGTGATGGAGGAGGTGATGGAAGAGGTGATGGAGGAGGTGATGGAGGAGGTGATGGAGGAGGTGATTGAGGAGGTGATGGAGGAGGTAATGGAGGAGGTGATGGAGGAGGTGATGGAGGAAGTGATAGAGTGATGGAGGAGGTGATTGAGGAGGTGATGGATAAAGTGATAGAGTGATGGAGGAGGTGATTGAGGAGGTGATGGAGAAAGTGATAGAGTGATGGAGAAGGTGATTGAGGAGGTAATGGAGGAGGTGATGGAGGAGGTGATGGAGGAGGTGATGGAGGAGGTAATGGAGGAGGTGATGGAGGAGGTGATGGAGGAGGGATGGAGGAGGTGATGTGAGGGAGGTGATGGAGGAGTAATGGAAGAGGTAATGGAGGAGGGATGGAGGAAGTGATAGGGATGGGAGGAGGTGATGGGAGGAGGGGTTGGAGGAGTGGGGTGGGAGGTGATGGTGGAAGTGGGAGTGATGGAGGAGGTGATTGAGGAGGTGTGGGGGGAGGGATGGAGGAAGTGGGGGTGATGGAGGATGGGGTGGAGGGGGGTGGAGGAGGTGGGAGGAGGGGTGGGTGGTGGGTTTTGGGAGGGTGGGGTGGGAGGGTGGGGGAGGTGGGTGGGTGGGTGGTGGTGGGTGGTGGAGGTGATGGTGGTGGTGGAGGGTGGTGGGTTGGTGGAGGGGATGGTGGAGGGGTGGAGGTGGGGTGGTTGGTGGGGTGGGTGGTGGGTGATGGAGGTGGGGTGGGGTGGATGGGGAGGGTGGTGGGTGGTGGTGGTGTGGTGGTTGGGAGGGTGGGGGTGGTGGGTGGTGGTAGGGTGGTGGGGTGGGTTGGGGGTTGGGTGGGTGAGGGTGGTGGTGTTGGTGGTGGGGATGGTGATGGGTAGGGTGGTGTGGTCGGGTGGTGGGGGTGGGTTGGTTGGTGGTTGGGTGTGGGTGGGTGGTGTGGTGGGTGGTGGTGTGGGTGGGTGGGTGATAAGGTGGTGGTGTGGAATGGTGGGTGGGTGGTGGGGATGGTGGTGGTTGAGGTGGATGGGTGGGATGGTAGGAATGATGGGAGAAGATGGATAAGAAGAATGATAAGAAGAATGATAAGAAGAATGATAAGAAGAATGATAAGAAGAATGATAAGAAGAATGATAAGAAGAATGATAAGAAGAATGATAAGAAGAATGATAAGAAGAATGATAAGAAGAATGATAAGAAGAATGATAAGAAGAATGATAAGAAGAATGATAAGAAGAATGATAAGAAGAATGATAAGAAGAATGATAAGAAGAATGATAAGAAGAATGATAAGAAGAATGATAAGAAGAATGATAAGAAGAATAAGATAAGAAGAATGATAAGAAGAATGATAAGAAGAATGATAAGAAGAATGATAAGAAGAATGATAAGAAGAATGATAAGAAGAATGATAAGAAGAATGATAAGAAGAATGATAAGAAGAATGATAAGAAGAATGATAAGAAGAATGATAAGAAGAATGATAAGAAGAATGATAAGAAGAATGATAAAGAAGAATTATGATAAGAAGAATGATAACGAAAGATAAGAAGAATGATAAGAAGAATGATAAGAAGAATGATAAGAAGATGATAAGAAGATAATGATAAGAAGAATGATAAGAAGAATGATAAGAAGAATGATAAGAAGAATGATAAGAAGAATGATAAGAAGAATGATAAGAAGAATGATAAGAAGAATGAGAAGAAGATAAGAAGATGATAAGAAGAATGATAAGAAGAATGATAAGAAGAATGATAAGAAGAATGATAAGAATCACCTCCTCCATCACCTCCTCCATCACCTCCTCCATCACCTCCTCCATCACCTCCTCCATCACCTCCTCCATCACCTCCTCCATCACCTCCATCACTCCTCCATCACCTCCTCCATCACCTCCTCCATCACCTCCTCCATCACCTCACCTCAGAACAAAACTCACGCCGTCGACTTCAGGACGACTGTTGCAGAGAGAGAGAGACCGCAGGATTGGGTTAAATACGGTTAGAAAAAAAGTAGTTCTGAAGGAAGTTATCGTTAAAAAGTTGAACTATTTTTACTAATTTAATTGTCACAGTATTTTTCTCTGCATGTCTCAGGGGACCTTTATAAAGTTGGTCGATTCACCAATAAATCAGAGAATCAAATAGTTTGAATACAGGAGATTCAATGATAGAGAGAAGGTTCCCGTACACCAACCATTCACCAACCATTACACCAACCATTACACACCATTTACACCACCATTACACACCCTAACCATTACACAACCATTACAGTCCTGGGTCTACAGCCTCAGTCCTGGATCTACAGCCTCAGTCCTGGATCTACAGCCTCAGTCCTGGGTCTACAGTCTCAGTCCTGGGTCTACAGCCTCAGTCCTGGGTCTACAGCCTCAGTCCTGGGTCTACAGCCTCAGTCCTGGGTCTACAGCCTCAGTCCTGGGTGTACAGCCTCAGTCCTGGGTCTACAGCCTCAGTCCTGGGTCTACAGCCTCAGTCCTGGGTCTACAGCCTCAGTCCTGGGTCTACAGCCTCAGTCCTGGGTCTACAGCCTCAGTCCTGGATCTACAGCCTCAGTCCTGGATCTACAGCCTCAGTCCTGGATCTACAGCCTCAGTCCTGGATCTACAGCCTCAGTCCTGGGTCTACAGCCTCAGTCCTGGATCTACAGCCTCAGTCCTGGGTCTACAGTCTCAGTCCTGGGTCTACAGCCTCAGTCCTGGGTCTACAGCCTCAGTCCTGGATCTACAGTCTCGGTCCTGGGTCTACAGTCTCGGTCCTGGGTCTACAGCCTCAGTCCTGGGTCTACAGCCTCAGTCCTGGGTCTACAGCCTCAGTCCTGGGTCTACAGCCTCAGTCCTGGATCTACAGCCTCAGTCCTGGGTCTACAGTCTCAGTCCTGGGTCTACAGCCTCAGTCCTGGGTCTACAGCCTCAGTCCTGGGTCTACAGTCTCAGTCCTGGATCTACAGTCTTGGTCCTGGGTCTACAGCCTCAGTCCTGGGTCTACAGCCTCAGTCCTGGGTCTACAGCCTCAGTCCTGGGTCTACAGCCTCAGTCCTGGGTCTACAGTCTCAGTCCTGGGTCTACAGCCTCAGTCCTGGGTCTACAGCCTCAGTCCTGGGTCTACAGCCTCAGTCCTGGGTCTTCAGCCTCAGTCCTGGGTGTACAGCCTCAGTCCTGTGTCTACAGCCTCAGTCCTGGGTCTACAGCCTCAGTCCTGGATCTACAGCCTCAGTCCTGGATCTACAGCCTCAGTCCTGGATCTACAGCCTCAGTCCTGGATCTACAGCCTCAGTCCTGGGTCTACAGTCTCAGTCCTGGGTCTACAGCCTCAGTCCTGGGTCTACAGCCTCAGTCCTGGATCTACAGTCTCGGTCCTGGGTCTACAGTCTCAGTCCTGGGTCTACAGCCTCAGTCCTGGGTCTACAGCCTCAGTCCTGGGTCTACAGCCTCAGTCCTGGGTCTACAGCCTCAGTCCTGGGTCTACAGCCTCAGTCCTGGATCTACAGCCTCAGTCCTGGGTCTACAGTCTCAGTCCTGGGTCTACAGCCTCAGTCCTGGGTCTACAGCCTCAGTCCTGGGTCTACAGTCTCAGTCCTGGATCTACAGTCTTGGTCCTGGGTCTACAGCCTCAGTCCTGGGTCTACAGCCTCAGTCCTGGGTCTACAGCCTCAGTCCTGGGTCTACAGCCTCAGTCCTGGGTCTACAGTCTCAGTCCTGGGTCTACAGCCTCAGTCCTGGGTCTACAGCCTCAGTCCTGGATCTACAGTCTCAGTCCTGGGTCTACAGCCTCAGTCCTGGGTCTACAGCCTCAGTCCTGGGTCTACAGTCTCAGTCCTGGATCTACAGTCTTGGTCCTGGGTCTACAGCCTCAGTCCTGGGTCTACAGCCTCAGTCCTGGGTCTACAGCCTCAGTCCTGGGTCTACAGCCTCAGTCCTGGGTCTACAGTCTCAGTCCTGGGTCTACAGCCTCAGTCCTGGGTCTACAGCCTCAGTCCTGGATCTACAGTCTCGGTCCTGGATCTACAGCCTCAGTCCTGGGTCTACAGCCTCAGTCCTGGATCTACAGCCTCAGTCCTGGATCTACAGCCTCAGTCCTGGGTCTACAGTCTCAGTCCTGGGTCTACAGCCTCAGTCCTGGGTCTACAGCCTCAGTCCTGGGTCTACAGCCTCAGTCCTGGATCTACAGCCTCAGTCCTGGATCTACAGCCTCAGTCCTGGATCTACAGCCTCAGTCCTGGATCTACAGCCTCAGTCCTGGATCTACAGCCTCAGTCCTGGATCTACAGCCTCAGTCCTGGGTCTACAGTCTCAGTCCTGGGTCTACAGCCTCAGTCCTGGGTCTACAGCCTCAGTCCTGGGTCTACAGCCTCAGTCCTGGATCTACAGTCTCGGTCCTGGATCTACAGTCTTGGTCCTGGGTCTACAGCCTCAGTCCTGGATCTACAGCCTCAGTCCTGGATCTACAGCCTCAGTCCTGGATCTACAGTCTTGGTCCTGGGTCTACAGCCTCAGTCCTGGGTCTACAGCCTCAGTCCTGGGTCTACAGCCTCAGTCCTGGGTCTACAGCCTCAGTCCTGGGTCTACAGCCTCAGTCCTGGGTCTACAGTCTCAGTCCTGGGTCTACAGCCTCAGTCCTGGGTCTACAGCCTCAGTCCTGGATCTACAGCCTCAGTCCTGGGTCTACAACCTCAGTCCTGGATCTACAGTCTCGGTCCTGGATCTACAGCCTCAGTCCTGGGTCTACAGCCTCAGTCCTGGATCTACAGCCTCAGTCCTGGATCTACAGCCTCAGTCCTGGGTCTACAGTCTCAGTCCTGGGTCTACAGCCTCAGTCCTGGGTCTACAGCCTCAGTCCTGGGTCTACAGCCTCAGTCCTGGGTGTACAGCCTCAGTCCTGGGTGTACAGCCTCAGTCCTGGGTCTACAGCCTCAGTCCTGGATCTACAGCCTCAGTCCTGGGTCTACAGCCTCAGTCCTGGGTCTACAGCCTCAGTCCTGGGTCTACAGCCTCAGTCCTGGGTCTTCAGCCTCAGTCCTGGGTGTACAGCCTCAGTCCTGTGTCTACAGCCTCAGTCCTGGGTCTACAGCCTCAGTCCTGGATCTACAGCCTCAGTCCTGGATCTACAGCCTCAGTCCTGGATCTACAGCCTCAGTCCTGGATCTACAGCCTCAGTCCTGGGTCTACAGTCTCAGTCCTGGGTCTACAGCCTCAGTCCTGGGTCTACAGCCTCAGTCCTGGATCTACAGTCTCGGTCCTGGGTCTACAGTCTCAGTCCTGGGTCTACAGCCTCAGTCCTGGGTCTACAGCCTCAGTCCTGGGTCTACAGCCTCAGTCCTGGGTCTACAGCCTCAGTCCTGGATCTACAGTCTCGGTCCTGGGTCTACAGTCTCAGTCCTGGGTCTACAGCCTCAGTCCTGGGTCTACAGCCTCAGTCCTGGGTCTACAGCCTCAGTCCTTGGTCTACAGCCTCAGTCCTGGATCTACAGCCTCAGTCCTGGATCTACAGCCTCAGTCCTGGGTCTACAGCCTCAGTCCTGGGTCTACAGCCTCAGTCCTGGATCTACAGCCTCAGTCCTGGATCTACAGCCTCAGTCCTGGGTCTACAGCCTCAGTCCTGGATCTACAGCCTCAGTCCTAGATCTACAGCCTCAGTCCTGGGTCTACAGCCTCATTCTACTTAATCTTTTTAATTTAACAGTGAATCCATGTCACAATCATAAATGCATTATTGCAGAGTGTACTTCAGACACTTTACTTTCTGCAGTTTCTTCTTCGTCACCAAACTTTGGCCCAAAAGTCTCTTGTTGATTGATTATTGTGTTTGCTCAGCAGAGTGTCAGCGCTGCCCACCGTCTGCTCAGCTGTCCGCTCCTCACCCAGTCACTCACAGCAATACAGGGGCTTTGTCAATCATCTATCAGCCGAGCCTCACCAGAAACACAGAGAGAAGTGATTATTCATGTATCGCCCTGAATCACAGCAGCAGTCGTCTTGAAGGGGTTAACAACAGATTAGAGAATCAAAGAGGAAATGCAACAATAACAAACAGTCATTGGTCCAGAGGGAGAAGAACGACCACTGTCCATGTTTATATGCTTACATCAATGTCCTGAATCATTGCTGTCCTCAGACCCTCCTGCACCGGAGAGGAAGAACCCACAACCACTGAGGCTGTAGACCCAGGACTGAGGCTGTAGACCCAGGACTGAGGCTGTAGATCCAGGGACTGAGGCTGTAGACCCAGGGACTGAGGCTGTAGATCCAGGACTGAGGCTGTAGATCCAGGGCCGAGGCTGTAGATCCAGGACTGAGGCTGTAGATCCAGGACTGAGGCTGTAGATCCAGGGACTGAGGCTGTAGATCCAGGACTGAGGCTGTAGATCCAGGACTGAGGCTGTAGACCCAGGACTGAGGAGGCTGTAGACCCAGGACTGAGGCTGTAGATCCAGGGACTGAGGCTGTAGATCCAGGACTGAGGCTGTAGATCCAGGACTGAGGCTGTAGACCCAGGACTGAGGAGGCTGTAGACCCAGGACTGAGGCTGTAGATCCAGGACTGAGGCTGTAGATCCAGGACTGAGGCTGTAGATCCAGGACTGAGGCTGTAGATCCAGGACTGAGGCTGTAGATCCAGGACTGAGGCTATTCTCATAAATATAGAAAAGTAACAGAGAGAGACCAGAGACAGAGAAGAGAGAGATCATAGAGACCAGAGGGAGAGAGTAGAGAGAGCAAAGAGAGGTTCTTTGCTCTGACAGAGGACTGTAATCCATCTGTGCTGGAGGTTCTTTATGAATCTATCTTTTAGAATATACAATGATTCTTCTGGCCACTGGAAAAGTCATGTTCCAGCTTCTTCCCTCTGGCAGAAGATCTTGTTAGCTGCAGGACATCTGGTCATGCTAACAGCTTCTTTCAGCTGTTATCAGTCTGAAAAAAGTCCAGGGTTTTTCAGTTGAATTAGACTAATGTTGATGCTCTGAGTCTGAAAATGACCTTGGTTTTGCTCAATCAGGTCAGGATATTTTGCTACAGAAATATTTTTTTTAATTGATTTTGCGTAAAAAACAAATTTCTGTGGATCATCAGCTGAGAAACCCTTGACGTTTTTTCAGTTTTCCTCAAGAAATAAAAGTCAACGTATCCAAAGTCATTCAGTTTTTATTTACTCCATCAAATTTGATAAGCAGAATTCATTATAACGTAGACATAATCCGTAACACTATGGCTGTATCTCAAACAGTTGACCTGATAGAGCTGAATGCATGTGATATTCGGACTCAGAACACCAACATTAGTCTGAATCAGTTGAGAAACCCCTGACCATTTTTTGGCTGCCAACTTGTGTTATCTTCACTTGTATCTCAACTGTCTTTGTTGACTTATTTACCTTTTTACCTTGTTTTACCGTATTTTTGTACATGTCTGGTGCATACTGGGGTCTCTCACACGACTATTCCAACGTGGTTTTACTGAAAATGACTAATAACTGAATCTGAACACACAAGAACACACACATTACAGTTGTTTTCTGAGCTAAAACAACAGAAAGCCAACGGTCCGGTCAGACTAGAGCAGAGACTGACATCCAGCTAATGGGTCACGCAGCAGAGGCCTGGACCGGGGCCTGGGACCTGGTGCTGGGGGCGCTGGAACCCATGTGGTCCGCTCCCAAACCACCGGGCTGTCACCGAGAAGTCTCCACCTCACACTGCGTCCATTATGCTCCTTACTGGTCCTTACTGGTCCATTATGCTCCTTACTGGTCCTTACTGGTCCATTATGCTCCTTACTGGTCCTTACTGGTCCATTATGGTCCTTACTGGTCCTTACTGGTCCATTATGCTCCTTACTGGTCCTTACTGGTCCATTATGCTCCTTACTGGTCCTTACTGGTCCATTATGCTCCTTACTGGTCCTTACTGGTCCATTATGCTCCTTACTGGTCCCTACTGGTCCATTATGCTCCTTACTGGTCCATTATGCTCCTTACTGGTCCATTATGCTCCTTACTGGTCCTTACTGGTCCATTATGGTCCTTACTGGTCCTTACTGGTCCTTACTGGTCCATTATGCTCCTTACTGGTCCATTATGCTCCTTACTGGTCCCTACTGGTCCATTATGCTCCTTACTGGTCCATTATGCTCCTTACTGGTCCATTATGGTCCTTACTGGTCCTTACTGGTCCATTATGCTCCTTACTGGTCCATTATGCTCCTTACTGGTCCTTACTGGTCCATTATGCTCCTTACTGGTCCTTACTGGTCCATTATGCTCCTTACTGGTCCATTATGGTTCTTACTGGTCCTTACTGGTCCATTATGCTCCTTGCTGGTCCTTACTGGTCCTTACTGGTCCATTATGCTCCTTACTGGTCCATTATGGTCCTTACTGGTCCTTACTGGTCCATTATGGTCCTTACTGGTCCTTACTGGTCCATTATGCTCCTTACTGGTCCTTACTGGTCCATTATGCTCCTTACTGGTCCTTACTGGTCCATTATGCTCCTTACTGGTCCTTACTGGTCCATTATGCTCCTTACTGGTCCCTACTGGTCCATTATGCTCCTTACTGGTCCATTATGCTCCTTACTGGTCCATTATGCTCCTTACTGGTCCATTATGGTCCTTACTGGTCCTTACTGGTCCTTACTGGTCCATTATGCTCCTTACTGGTCCCTACTGGTCCATTATGCTCCTTACTGGTCCATTATGCTCCTTACTGGTCCATTATGGTCCTTACTGGTCCTTACTGGTCCATTATGGTCCTTACTGGTCCTTACTGGTCCATTATGCTCCTTACTGGTCCTTACTGGTCCATTATGCTCCTTACTGGTCCTTACTGGTCCATTATGCTCCTTACTGGTCCATTATGGTTCTTACTGGTCCTTACTGGTCCATTATGCTCCTTGCTGGTCCTTACTGGTCCATTATGCTCCTTACTGGTCCATTATGGTCCTTACTGGTCCTTACTGGTCCATTATGCTCCTTACTGGTCCATTATGCTCCTTACTGGTCCTTACTGGTCCATTATGCTCCTTACTGGTCCTTACTGGTCCATTATGCTCCTTACTGGTCCCTACTGGTCCATTATGCTCCTTACTGGTCCATTATGCTCCTTACTGGTCCATTATGCTCCTTACTGGTCCTTACTGGTCCATTATGGTCCTTACTGGTCCTTACTGGTCCTTACTGGTCCATTATGCTCCTTACTGGTCCCTACTGGTCCATTATGCTCCTTACTGGTCCATTATGCTCCTTACTGGTCCATTATGGTCCTTACTGGTCCTTACTGGTCCATTATGCTCCTTACTGGTCCTTACTGGTCCATTATGCTCCTTACTGGTCCTTACTGGTCCATTATGCTCCTTACTGGTCCTTACTGGTCCATTATGCTCCTTACTGGTCCATTATGGTTCTTACTGGTCCTTACTGGTCCATTATGCTCCTTGCTGGTCCTTACTGGTCCTTACTGGTCCATTATGCTCCTTACTGGTCCATTATGGTCCTTACTGGTCCTTACTGGTCCATTATGGTCCTTACTGGTCCTTACTGGTCCATTATGCTCCTTACTGGTCCTTACTGGTCCATTATGCTCCTTACTGGTCCTTACTGGTCCATTATGCTCCTTACTGGTCCTTACTGGTCCATTATGCTCCTTACTGGTCCCTACTGGTCCATTATGCTCCTTACTGGTCCATTATGCTCCTTACTGGTCCTTACTGGTCCATTATGGTCCTTACTGGTCCTTACTGGTCCTTACTGGTCCATTATGCTCCTTACTGGTCCCTACTGGTCCATTATGCTCCTTACTGGTCCATTATGCTCCTTACTGGTCCATTATGGTCCTTACTGGTCCTTACTGGTCCATTATGCTCCTTACTGGTCCTTACTGGTCCATTATGCTCCTTACTGGTCCTTACTGGTCCATTATGCTCCTTACTGGTCCTTACTGGTCCATTATGCTCCTTACTGGTCCATTATGGTTCTTACTGGTCCTTACTGGTCCATTATGCTCCTTGCTGGTCCTTACTGGTCCTTACTGGTCCATTATGCTCCTTACTGGTCCATTATGGTCCTTACTGGTCCTTACTGGTCCATTATGCTCCTTACTGGTCCTTACTGGTCCATTATGCTCCTTACTGGTCCTTACTGGTCCATTATGGTCCTTACTGGTCCATTATGCTCCTTACTGGTCCTTACTGGTCCATTATGCTCCTTACTGGTCCTTACTGGTCCATTGTGGTCCTTACTGGTCCATTATGGTCCTTACTGGTCCTTGCTGGTCCATTATGCTCCTTACTGGTCCTTACTGGTCCATTATGCTCCTTACTAGTCCTTACTGGTCCATTATGCTCCTTACTGGTCCTTACTGGTCCATTATGCTCCTTACTGGTCCTTACTGGTCCATTATGCTCCTTACTGGTCCTTACTGGTCCTTACAGGTCCATTATGCTCCTTACTGGTCCTTACTGGTCCTTACTGGTCCTTACTGGTCCTTACAGGTCCTTACTGGTCCTTACTGGTCCTTACTGGTCCTTACTGGTCCATTATGCTCCTTACTGGTCCTTACTGGTCCTTACTTGTCCTTACAGGTCCTTACTGGTCCATTATGGTCCTTACTGGTCCATTATGCTCCTTACTGGTCCTTACTGGTCCTTACAGGTCCTTACTGGTCCTTACTGGTCCTTACTGGTCCTTACTGGTCCTTACTGGTCCATTATGCTCCTTACTGGTCCTTACTGGTCCTTACAGGTCCTTACTGGTCCATTATGGTCCTTACTGGTGCCTGGAGGTCTGCAGACAGATCCGCTGTTGTTATATGTAAAGCAATATCTTACATTGTTATTGGTGTTGGCAACAGGACTAGAATAATGCTTCCTGAAAACGTGAGACAGGCTTGTTCTCAGACAATGATCAAATCCAGGTCAAAAACTGCAACACAACTTTACTCTTTTTAATGTGCAGTGATTATTTATGATTTTAATGCTGCTGTTTCTGTCTTTTCTTTAATCAACACTAGAATTCCTAGAGCTGACTTTTCAATCATTTTAATCTAAAATTCGCTAGTTGCCATAGTAACACGCTGTCAATTATTCAGCCGTTAGCAATAGCAGTTAGCATCACTGTTTTGCTGTATTTCCAGTTGGATTCACCAGTTTTAGCAGTTATTAAAGGTTAAAGAAATGTGTACGTTGCATTAGAACTTGTAGAAAACTGTTGTTTGGAGTCACTTTGAGTTTCCTCGTGTGTGAGCGCCTGGTCGCACCACACCACAGTACTAATTTACATTTCGTACTAACGTCTGGATTTGCTCCATTGGCTCCGTTTACAGGTGGGAGGGGCTAACTCCTTTTGCAGTTTGAAACGATTGGATCAGAGTTTACCGTGACGTATGTAATGAGCCCGAGTCTGTTGTTAGCATTTAGCCTAGCTTTAGCCATCTCCTTTGCCGCTAACGGAGCCCGTGGGGAGAAGAGCCACAATCTTTTTCAGCGATTACATTTGCTAAACATTCCTTTTGCTCCGGCTTCAGTTTCTTGATAGAACCAGACCGGATAACTTTACTATCGCATTCTTCGCCAAACTACAACCGGCCCGTTCGACGCAAACTCTTGACGTCTTCCACAACTAACTGCAACACCCGCCTCCCGCGCTCTCTGATTGGTCGGATGGAATTCAACAGATTGTAATCGCAAACACAGGGACCAGACCCAGACGTTACATGCAGGACATGATGATGGAGCGGAGAGTACGGATGGATAAGACCACTCAGTGAGGGTTTCTCTCTCTAAATGGGCCTCCAGGAGGTTTCTCACCTCTTTTTGCCGATCCAGGAGGGTCTAAGGACAATGACACAGTGACTAAAAGAAGAAGAAAAATACCACAACATTATACTACTTACATTGAAAAAGTTACTTCACAAAAACGTATAATTGCGGCTAGGATTTCTTTTTTGATTAATTCTCTTATTTAGTGAAAAGCCAGAGGTATTTATGTGCCATTCAAATAAAGTTGTCTCTCTCTGCTTTCTCTCTGGTCGCTCTCTCGTCTCTCTCTGGTCTCTCTCTGGTCTCTCTCTGGTCTCTCTCTGGTCGCTCTCTCGTCTCTCTCTGGTCTCTCTCTACTCTCTCTCTGCTCTCTCTCTCTCTGCTCTCTCTCTGCTCTCTCTCTGGTCTCTCTCTGGTCTCTCTCTGCTCTCTCTCTGGTCTCTCTCTGGCTCTCTCTCTGGTCTCTCTCTGGTCTCTCTCTGGTCTCTCTCTGGTCTCTCTCTGGTCTCTCTCTGGTCTCTCTCTGCTCTCTCTCTGGTCTCTCTCTGGTCTCTCTCTGGTCTCTCTCTGGTCTCTCTCTGGTCTCTCTCTGCTCTCTCTCTGGTCTCTCTCTGGTCTCTCTCTCTGCTCTCTCTCTGGTCTCTCTCTGGTCTCTCTCTGGTCTCTCTCTGGTCTCTCTCTCTGCTCTCTCTCTGGTCTCTCTCTGCTCTCTCTCTGGTCTCTCTCTGCTCTCTCTCTGCTCTCTCTCTGCTCTCTCTCTGCTCTCTCTCTGGTCTCTCTCTGCTCTCTCTCTGCTCTCTCTCTGCTCTCTCTCTGCTCTCTCTCTGCTCTCTCTCTGGTCTCTCTCTGCTCTCTCTCTGGTCTCTCTCTGCTCTCTCTCTGCTCTCTCTCTGGTCTCTCTCTGCTCTCTCTCTGGTCTCTCTCTGGTCTCTCTCTGGTCTCTCTCTGGTCTCTCTCTGGTCTCTCTCTGGTCTCTCTCTGGTCTCTCTCTGCTCTCTCTCTGGTCTCTCTCTGGTCTCTCTCTGGTCTCTCTCTGGTCTCTCTCTGGTCTCTCTCTGGTCTCTCTCTGCTCTCTCTCTGGTCTCTCTCTGGTCGCTCTCTCGTCTCTCTCTGGTCTCTCTCTACTCTCTCTCTGCTCTCTCTCTCTCTGCTCTCTCTCTGGTCTCTCTCTGCTCTCTCTCTGCTCTCTGGTCTCTCTCTGCTCTCTCTCTGGTCTCTCTCTGGTCTCTCTCTGCTCTCTCTCTGGTCTCTCTGCTCTCTCTCTGGTCTCTCTCTCTGCTCTCTCTCTGGTCTCTCTCTGCTCTCTCTCTGGTCTCTCTCTCTGCTCTCTCTCTGGTCTCTCTCTGCTCTCTCTCTGCTCTCTCTCTGCTCTCTCTCTGGTCTCTCTCTGCTCTCTCTCTGCTCTCTCTCTGGTCTCTCTCTGCTCTCTCTCTGCTCTCTCTCTACTCTCTCTCTGGTCTCTCTCTGGTCTCTCTCTGCTCTCTCTCTGGTCTCTCTCTGCTCTCTCTCTGCTCTCTCTCTGGTCTCTCTCTGCTCTCTCTCTGCTCTCTCTCTGGTCTCTCTCTGGTCTCTCTCTGGTCTCTCTCTGCTCTCTCTCTGGTCTCTCTCTGGTCTCTCTCTGCTCTCTCTCTGGTCTCTCTCTGCTCTCTCTCTGGTCTCTCTCTCTGCTCTCTCTCTGGTCTCTCTCTGCTCTCTCTCTGGTCTCTCTCTCTGCTCTCTCTCTGGCTCTCTCTCTGCTCTCTCTCTGCTCTCTCTCTGCTCTCTCTCTGGTCTCTCTCTGCTCTCTCTCTGTCTCTCTCTCTCTCTCTCTCTCTGCTCTCTCTCTGCTCTCTCTCTGGTCTCTCTCTGCTCTCTCTCTACTCTCTCTCTGGTCTCTCTCTGGTCTCTCTCTGCTCTCTCTCTGGTCTCTCTCTGCTCTCTCTCTGGTCTCTCTCTGGTCTCTCTCTGCTCTCTCTCTGCTCTCAGGGAGGAGGTACATCCTTGTTCTTTACCTCAAACCTCGCTCACCACCTCCTTCACCTTAATTAGTCTCAGAGCTGCTCCAACACTCCGGCCTCCAACCACCTCCCTCCCCCTTTCTCCTCCTCTCACTCCTTCATCTTTCTATTTCGTCTCTACGGAAAATGACTGCACACACACACACACACACACACACACACACACACACACACACACACACACACACACACACACACACACACACACACACACACACACGCACACACACAACACCACAATATACCAACATCTGTGCCTGCCTTCCCGAAAGCTACAAAGAAACGTTTTAATGTTTGGTAAATAGCGTCACTGTGTAGACGCAGACAGACAGAGAGAGGTGTGGAGGCTCCGGGCTCGGCGGGCTATAAATACAGTGGATTGCAAAGTGGAGAAAAAGTCGGTTAAAAAGTTAAGTGGGGAAAAAAGAAGCCAGGTTTGAGATTGACAGCGCCACGTCTCAGCTCTCTGGAGGCTAAATTAGGAGATCCTTGGCTCTGACAGACACGCGAGGATTCTTACCCCAGTGTGTGTGTGTGTGTGTGTGTGTGTCACTCTCCAGGGGCCCCCTCGTTCTCTTGCACTTGCAGAAACTGAAGGGCCCGTGCCATGTATTTTTCTTCACCCTTTCTTTTCTTCCTCTGCCGCCTGCTCCTGCTTCCTCCAGAGTCGGTTGGAATGCTGATGACCACTGGGACCAGGATGTGGGACCGGCGAGGGACCAGAGAGAGGGCCCAGCGAGGGCCCAGCAGTCACCGCCACCGCCACCGCCGCTCCCTGGGAACAGAACATTGGTCCGAGAGAGTTGTGTAGGAATATATTAAGTTTGTGTGTGTTATCGCTATAACTTTTTACACTTGTGACATTCTGTGCGGAGACTTTCTGACCTCAGCCTTTGTCGGACACCGCTGCTCTCTCCTCATTCTTATGTTTACGTTAGATTCGCTTCAGTTTAGTTTTGTGTGCCGCCCTACACCACAACAGTAGTTATCTTGGAGGACTTTTGCCTGTCGATTCGCCCACAACAGATCAGAAAATCAAACGTATAAAACCCCATAGAGCCATTGGTCCATAAGAGGAAGATGGGGGACCAATGATCGCTACAATAATGAAAAAAACCCAAAAAGAAAACCAGTTGGATTTCACAAACTATCTGCCCCAATGAGGCCTCGTTCTGCTCTCTCATGAAAATCTTGTTATTATTGTATCGCCCTAAATCTCAGAGAACGTTACAAAACTGTTGAATTCACCTCAAACACAGGAAAAACAATGATATAAAACACACATAGAGCCACTGGTTCAAAAGGAGCAGAGACCTATGTCCAGAAATGTTGTCAAATGTATCTCTGGTCTCTCTCTCTGGTCTCTCTCTGGTCTCTCTCTGGTCTCTCTCTGGTCTCTCTCTGGTCTCTCTCTGGTCTCCCTCTCTGGTCTCTCTCTCTGGTCTCTCTCTGGTCTCCCTCTCTGGTCTCTCTCTGGTCAATCTCTGGTCTCTCTCTCTGGTCTTTCTCTCTCTGGTCTCTCTCTCTGGTCTCTCTCTGGTCTCTCTCTGGTCGTTCTCTGGTCTCTCTCTGGTCTATCTCTCTGGTCTCTCTCGTCTTTCTCTGGTCTCTCTCTGGTCTCTCTCTCTGGTCTCTCTCTGGTCTCTCTCTGGTCTCTCTCTCTGGTCTCTCTCTCTCTGGTCTCTCTCTGGTCTCTCTCTCTGGTCTCTCTCTGGTCTCTCTCTGGTCTCTCTCTCTGGTCTTTCTCTCTCTGGTCTCTCTCTCTGGTCTCTCTCTGGTCAATCTCTGGTCTCTCTGGTCTCTCTCTGGTCTCTCTGGTGTCTCTCCCTGGTCTCTCTATCTGGTCTCTCTCTGGTCTCTCTCTGGTCTCTCTGGTCCCTCTCTCTGGTCTCTCTCTGGTCTCTCTGGTCCCTTTCTCTGGTCTCTCCCTGGTGTCTCTCCCTGGTCCCTCTCTCTGGTCTCTTTCTGGTCTCTCCCTGGTCTCTCTCTGGTCTCTCTGGTCTCTCCCTGGTCTCTCTCTGGTCTCTCTGGTCTCTCTGGTCTCTCCCTGGTCTCTCTCTGGTCTCTCTGGTCTCTCCCTGGTCTCTCTCTGGTCTCTCTGGTCCCTCTCTCTGGTCTCTCTGGTCTCTCCCTGGTCTCTCTCTGGCTTCTCTCTGGTCTCTCTCTGGTCTCTCTCTGGTATATCTGGTCCCTCTCTCTGGTCTCTCTGATCTCTCCCTGGTCTCTTCGGGAGTCACATTGTGGAGGACCTCTTTTCATGTGATTCACTTCTGATTTATTTTTTGCTAAAATCTAAACAAACGAGCACAATAAAAGGTATTTTCTTTCTGTTTGTGGACATTTTCTCAGGAGAAAGTGATAATTACATTTTGGATTAATTAATGAGACACAATATAACAGACCATGAACATATAAAGTCACAGCCTTCACTGGATATGGATGTGTAGAGTCTCCCCATGTCTCCTTCACAGGTGCTGATGAGCCAAACCCAGACTCTGATGCCGAAGGTCACACACTTTGTATTCTGGAGCCTGGAGTCTGGAACCTTTAGCGCTTCAGGTCAGGACCAAGATGTTAAAGTGCATCCCGTCCTGCAGGGGTCCCCAGAGGGAGGAGCAGAGCACACTGACTCAGAGTCCGTGGAGCACAGGGACTGGTCTCCTGCTGGTCCCAGAGACTCAACATGCGGAGGCTGTGACAGTCTTCTTGAAAATGTGAGACAGGTTTCTTCCCTGACAAGTTTCAAATCCAGTTAAGTTCTGTTTCGCTGCAAATTTACAAAAGAAGGATTGTGTCTTCACTGTTTTTATCGCACTGTTATTATTTATGATTTATTTAAGATAAAAAAGACAGACTTTAATGATCTCTGATGGAAACATGTTCATGTCACATCTGGCACAGATGTGTGGGCAATTAAAAAAAGAGTGACAATAGTAGTGCAGGTTTTTCAGTCCTAATGTAAGTGACTTAAAGTGACTTGTTGTACAGTCTGACAGCAGTGGGGATGAAGGCCCTGCTGTAGCGCTCCTTCTTCCACTGGAGGAGCTCCTCAGCTCCTCTACAGTCCTGTGCAGTGGGAGGTGTTGTTCATGATGGAGGTGGCTTTGACCTGCACCTCCTGTCCCTCACCTCCTCCACAGAGTCCAGGGGCCTCCTGTCCCTCACCTCCTCCACAGAGTCCAGGGGCCTCCTGTCCCTCACCTCCTCCACAGAGTCCAGGGGCCTCCTGTCCCTCACCTCCTCCACAGAGTCCAGGGGCCTCCTGTCCCTCACCTCCTCCACAGAGGTCAGGGGCCTCCTGTCCCTCACCTCCTCCACTGAGTCCAGGGGCCTCCTGTCCCTCACCTCCTCCACTGAGTCCAGGGGCCTCCTGTCCCTCACCTCCTCCACTGAGTCCAGGGGCCTCCTGTCCCTCACCTCCTCCATTGAGTCCAGGGGCCTCCTGTCCATCACCTCCTCCACGGAGTCCAGGGGCCTCCTGTCCCTCACCTCCTCCACTGAGTCCAGGGGCCTCCTGTCCCTCACCTCCTCCACTGAGTCCAGGGGCCTCCTGTCCCTCACCTCCTCCACTGAGTCCAGGGGCCTCCTGTCCCTCACCTCCTCCACTGAGTCCAGGGGCCTCCTGTCCCTCACCTCCTCCACTGAGTCCAGGGGCCTCCTGTCCCTCACCTCCTCCACAGAGTCCAGGGGCCTCCTGACCCTCACCTCCTCCACAGAGTCCTTACCTGCAGTCTGTGGGACGCTGTATGAATAAAGGTGACTCCCTGACCCACCTGCAGGGGGTGCTGTTGCCCTGACAGCGGTGCTCCTGTCCTCGCGCTCTCACTGCTCCCTCCTCTCACCAGCAGAGGGCGCTCGGGCTCTTCCTCACCGCCGCAGACAGACGCGCAGAACCCGCTTCAAAATCACATTCAACACAAGAACATCCAAAGCTCGTGGTTTTTAACTATGCACAGATAAAAACACACAGAAAAAAACACAAAAAGTGTAAAATCTTAACCCTTTTTATTCCTGAAAAAGTGACTTTGTTGATTGCTCTGAAATTAGTGAGACTGAAACACGTTTACGCCATCCTTTAATTCACGGGTTAGACATTTATCTTTTCAATCTTTTTATTTAAGAGGAACTGTGCTCATTAAAAAAACAGACAAAATGGTCAAAAATTGTGTTTCTCTGGTTTAAATCTTCGACACGTTTTATTATCGGCAGAATATTTGAAACTTTTTTTGTATGACACATAAATAAGTCTTGCACAAGACAAAGTTGTAAATAATTGTAAATATCAAAAAATTCAACACAAGACTTTCAAATGCGTTTTTTTCTTGCAGCAATGAGAAGTTTCTGCAAATGAACCGTTTCAATAGTTTACAAATAAATATAAATGAGGAAATAATTACTAAAATCAAGTGTTTTTTTTCTTAATTAGACACATTTAAAGCAATAATCTCCAAATTCTTATCCCATGAACTGTTTCTTTATTTTCTCATTTCAAAGACGACATTTCTGTATCTTTTTTAAACAAGACCATTCTGCTGTGTCCCGTTGTAGAGTCTATAGTTTTAAGGCTCAGTCTGAACGAGCTCAAATGTACTTTTTACCAAATTGAGTAATTCGTGATTTATTTTTCATCACTTCTGCAGCGTCGTCGTTCATTTGAGGAGTTTTTTTTACAGGTACATAACATTTCAAGAATTATTCAGGATTATAGCCACAGAGACAGTTTCCGGAGTCACAGAAACACAAGGAAAATGCAAACAAATTAAAATTAATATTCAGCATTTTTCAAGGATGATGTAAAATATAGATTCATTTTTGATGCAAATTGTCCTGAATATAAACAAGGATTTTGGTTTAATTCTGTCAATGTGCTTCCTCTTTTCCCAAATTAAAATTCTAGACTTTTTTGAAACTGATATTTTTCTCCCCCAAGACCTTAGCTTTATGTACCTGTGTATTGTGTGGCTACGGCCGACCTGATTGGCTGAGATTGTACCAACTGTGTTTATTAGAATTGTGATTTTTTTTTTTTTTTTTTTTTTACCGTATTTTTATTTTTACCGTATTTTTACGGTACATTTATTAAGACTTTCAGACAAAATTCAAGACTTTTCAACGTCTGGAATAAAAAGGGTTTCAAAATTCCATACTTATTAAGAGTTTCAAGAACCCTGTCTATTTATTTCAATATCTGTGTCCAGCCCAGAATCACAGCAGCTGTCGCCGCGGCTGTAGACCCAGGACTGAGGCTGTAGATCCAGGACTGAGGCTGTAGACCCAGGACTGAGGCTGTAGACCCAGGACTGAGGCTGTAGACCCAGGACTGAGGCTGTAGACCCAGGACTGAGGCTGTAGACCCAGGACTGAGGCTGTAGACCCAGGACTGAGGCTGTAGACCCAAGACTGAGGCTGTAGACCCAAGACTGAGGCTGTAGACCCAAGACTGAGGCTGTAGACCCAGGACTGAGGCTGTAGACCCAGGACTGAGGCTGTAGACCCAGGACTGAGGCTGTAGACCCAGGACTGAGGCTGTAGACCCAGGACTGAGGCTGTAGACCCATACTGAGGCTGTAGACCCAGGACTGAGGCTGTAAACCCAGGACTGAGGCTGTAGACTCATACTATACAAGATACAATTTACTTTATTTCTCACGTAGACTTGTGGAGTTTGCATGTTCTCCCTGTGTCTTTGTGAAATGTGATAGTTACAGATAACTCATCAAATATAATTACATTTAAGTTCATAGAAATGAGTAAATCAAAAGAAGACAAAAAGACAGTAATGTTCAGACTGCAGTGTGTTTCTCGCACCGTCACCAGAAGATAAACTATTTATATAACGTCTAAACATTTCAGTTCTTCATATTCAGTGTTTTGTCCACAAACATTGTTTTGAAATGGAAAATATTTCAATAACTTTTGAGGTCATCTGTGGCTAAAGAAAGCAGACAGTCTTTACAGGCAACTGACTCTGAGGAGCACGGGGACTGGCCTCCTGCTGGGACTCTGAGGAGCACAGGGACTGGCCTCCTGCTGGGACTCTGAGGAGCACAGGGACTGGCCTCCTGCTGGGACTCTGAGGAGCACAGGGACTGGCCTCAGCGTTTCAGACTCATGCAGCTAAAATCTTACTTCCTGAAAATGTGAGACAGGCTTCTTCTCTGACAATGTTCAAATACTTTGTCTTATTCACAGTATTAGTGATAATGCATCAGGTTTATTCAGCACTTTTCTGGACTCTCAAAGACGCTTCACATCATTTTTCTTTCACACCAAACACGGTGGTGATAAACGTCTACTGTAGCCACAGCTGCCCTGGGGCACACTGACAGAAGCGAGGCAACCAGTCTGTGCCATCGGCCCCTCCCACCACCACCAACCATTCACACACACCAGACTCATTCTAGGCAATGGGGGTGAAGTGTCTTGCCTAAGGACACAATGGCAGTTTGGCACTTTACAGTATTCACAGTATTCACATTATTTGCAGTATTCACAGTATTCGCAATATTTGTAGTATTGGCAATATTGGCAATATTTGTAGTATTGGCAATATTGGCAGTATTTGTAGTATTCGCAGTATTCACAGTATTTTGTATTATTTGCAGTACTCACAGTATTCACAGTAATTTCAGTATTCACAGTATTTGCAGTATTCACAGTATTTGTAGTATTGGCAGTATTGGCAGTACCTTTGTGTAAGTGTGTTGTAGCAGTGCAGCAGTATTCACAGTACTCCTTGTGTGTTGTGGCAGTGCAGCAGTATTCGCAGTATTGAGTGTGTTGTGGCAGTGCAGCAGTATTCGCAGCAGTATTCGCAGTATTGAGTGTGTTGTGGCAGTGCAGCAGTATTCGCAGTATTCGCAGTATTGAGTGTGTTGTGGCAGTGCAGCAGTATTCGCAGTATTCGCAGTATTCGCAGTATTCGCAGTATTGAGTGTGTTGTGGCAGTGCAGCAGTATTCGCAGTATTCGCAATATTTGTAGTATTGGCAATATTGGCAATATTTGTAGTATTGGCAATATTGGCAGTATTCGCAGTATTCACAGTATTTTGTATTATTTGCAGTACTCACAGTATTCACAGTAATTTCAGTATTCACAGTATTTGCAGTACTTGCAGCATTTTCAGTATTCACAGTATTTGCAGTATTCACAGTATTTGTAGTATTGGCAGTATTGGCAGTACCCTTGTGTAAGTGTGTTGTAGCAGTGCAGCAGTATTGGCAGTATTTGCAGTATTGGCAGTATCCTTGTGTGAGTGTGTTGAGGTAGTGCAGCAGTATTCACAGTACTCCTTGTGTGTTGTGGCAGTGCAGCAGTATTCGCAGTATTCACAGTATTGAGTGTGTTGTGGCAGTGCAGCAGTATTCGCAGTATTCGCAGTATTGAGTGTGTTGTGGCAGTGCAGCAGTATTCGCAGTATTGAGTGTGTTGTGGCAGTGCAGCAGTATTCGCAGTATTCGCAGTATTCGCAGTATTGAGTGTGTTGTGGCAGTGCAGCAGTATTCGCAGTATTCGCAGTATTCGCAGTATTGTGTGTTGTGGTGCAGCAGTATCGTGAGTGCAGTGGATTTGTGGTTAGCGTAGCGTAAACGAGTTGGCCTGGGGGCTCTCTTAACCCTCTCCCTCTGAGTGTCTGAGTGAGTCTGACTCCGCCCGTCTCAGATGTCCCTTTGAACCATTCTAATGCTTGTGGACAGGACCACAGCTCATGCATGAGGCTGCATTAGCTCCACATGTGTGCGGCAAACGCACCGGCAACGCACACGGCGTGACAGGTCAGAGGGCCGGGGAGAGAGGGGGAGAGAGGGGGAGAGAGGGGGAGGAGAGAGAGAGAGAGGGGGAGAGAGGGGGAGGAGAGAGAGAGAGAGGGGGAGGAGAGAGAGAGAGAGGGGGGAGAGAGGGAGACGGGGGACAGAGAGAGGGAGAGAGGGGAGAGAGAGGGGAGAGAGGGGGGGAGAGAGAGGAGGAGAGAGGGGGAGAGAGGGGGAGGGAGGGGGAGAGAGGGGGAGGAGAGAGAGAGAGAGGGGGAGGAGAGAGAGAGAGAGGGGGAGGAGAGAGAGAGAGAGAGGGGGAGAGAGGGAGACGGGGGACAGAGAGAGGGAGAGAGGGGAGAGAGGGGAGAGAGGGGGAGAGAGAGGAGGAGAGAGAGGGGGAGGGAGGGGGAGAGAGGGGGAGGAGAGAGAGAGAGAGGGGAGGAGTGAGAGAGAGAGAGAGGGGAGAGAGGGAGACGGGGGGAGAGAGAGAGGAGGAGAGAGGGGGAGGAGAGAGAGAGAGATAGACAGGGGGACGGAGAGAGGGAGAGAGGGGGAGAGAGGGGGAGGAGAGAGAGAGAGAGAGGGGGAGAGAGTGAGACGGGTGACGGAGAGAGGGAGAGAGGGGGAGAGAGGGGGAGAGAGAAGGAGAGAGAAGGAGAGATAAGGAGAGAGAAGGAGAAAGGGGGATGAAGAG